TTGGCTGAAGAGGAGAGAGGCCAGGGCAACCCTGCCCTTTCTTCCCTATGTCTACCATCAAGGCTGTCCAGTATTATAAATAAGCTGACACCACACGTCGCAGCTCCAGCTCCAGTGATCTCCTGTCCATGTGATCTTGGGCACATTACTCTGTGCCCCAAACCTTCATCTGAAAACAGCAGTGCCTCCCCACAGAGCTGTCATAAGGATTGCCTATAATAACTTTCCCAAAACTGCCTGGCTCCCAGGGTGCCCTGAATAAGTGTTCCCTGTTAGTACTACTTGTCTGTTCTCCCCCACCAACCTGAGTTCTTCCAGAAGGTGGGAGAAGTCCTGGGAATGTTGGGTGAATGAATGTATTTGCTGGCCCTGTTGCCAGGCACTGTGGCTGGTGGAGTAAGCAAATCACATGGAGTCTGTGCTTGTGGAGCTTCCGGCCAGTGATGAGGAGAGGCATAACCCGCCAAATCACGGTCACAACAGTGGCCAAGTCCCAGTCAGGGAGAACCATCATGCTCTGACAGTATATTAGTTAATAGGGGTGCCTGATCGGGAAGACTCCTCTGACTGGGCTTTGAAGCATGATGTCAACTAGCAAGAGAAGCCAGGGTAGGCACCTGCTTGGTAAGGGACAGCATGTGCAAAGGCCCTGTGGCCAAAGAGGAAAGCCCAGGGAGGCTGGCGCTCAGGGGACAAGAGGGCAGGCAGCTGGACACTGAAGGAATGGGCAGGGCCCAGTGCACGAGGGCCTGTCGGTTACACTAGGTGCAGCAGGAGGCATTCCACATTTTAAACAATGAGGGTCACATGATCCACTTTGCCTTTCAAAGCTACTCTAGCTGTGGTATGGCAGACATTTGAAGAGGGCAGCATGGTTGTGAGGAAGCAACAGGGAAACTCTGGGAAGTAGAGTCAGTGATTACTTGAACTGAGGTGGCAGCAGACGCACAGAGCAATAACCTCGGGATATTAACAATGGATAGAGTGGCCCTCACTGCAGATGGGCGAGGAAGGGGATGCGAGGATGTTTCCAACCTGTGCTGCTAGCAAGAGGGAGACCCTCCCTCCACTGAGGTGAATGGATGGACCCCAGCAGTTTGGCCAATGTCCAGGCCCCACAGCCATTGTCTATCTTTACACGTCTCAGAAAATTGGAGAGAGGGAGACTGAGGCTTAGTTCTTGCCCCCAGGCAAGAGTCTGGGTCTCTGGCTCTGCCCACACCTACCCCACTTGGTGCCAAGGACAGTGAGAGAGGCCCTATCTGTGGCAGGAGGCAAACAAGTCTGGCCCCTGGGCTTCTCAGGAGAGACAGGACAGACAAGTAATTTCAATAACTGTATTTCTGAGTTAGACTTAAAATATGGCTAAGATTGAAGAGGCAATTTGGCAGGGCCCAGTCCCCCAGGCAGTTTTCTCGGCCTCCACAATGCCGAGAACTTATTAACAAGATCACTCTTTCCCCTGTCCATGGCCCATTTACAAGCAGTTTTCAGGGCTGCTGTGTTAAGGAATCCAATTGTGGGCCCCTGGGCTCCTGCTCTGGTTGGAAAGTGTCGGGTGAGAATTCTTTGGTTTGGAATGCAGGGAAGGTTGTAGTGTTTCAAATACCTGGCATTTCATGGGGCTAGAGTAATCCAGAGGACAGGTTTCAAGTCCTGGCTCCACTGTGGTTTCCTCACACCACCAGTACAGTGGAACAGGTAAGGAGGGGATGCAGTGTGGCTGGTGCTGCCCAGGTGGGTGCCACCCTGATGAGGTGAGGATGTTCTCCCCAGGTCCTGGTGGGGAAGTGGCAGGTGGGTTTCCACAGTGAGATCAAAGCGCATTCCCAAGGTGGGGCTGGCAGGGGCCCCGGCCTCTCCTCCCAACCCTATCTCTCTCTATATATTTAGTGCCTGCAGCTGTCTCTCTCAGGTGCGCTCAGCACACATGGTGATTAATTTCACCAACGGGAAATTGACGCATTTTCTGATTACTGCTTCAAAGCCTCCTGAATTCAGCTGCTGGTAAAATTAACTCACCAGGGACAATGGAGCTTTTTCCAAGGTCCAAATTGTCTTATTTGCAGAGTTTGTTCTTGGCCCTAATCCAGCCCAAACAAACAGGGCTGCTCCACCTCCCACAAGAGGGAGGGCCTTCATGAGCACAAGGTTGGAAATATTCCACCCGGCTCTAAACTGGGGGACAAAAATATACATACTTTTGGATTCCTGTGTTTCTGAAAACCTGCAGGTGACCTGAAGCGAATGGCCGGCTGGGGTCCCAGAGGCCCTCCTGGCAGGACCTCTCCCAGGCATGCCTGGGTCTACCAACCTGATGGGCCTGGGCCTACTCCCCCACCCTGCCACCCTCACACAAACCTCAAACCTCAAGCCTTTGCCAATGACCACATTCAGCTCCATGGGTTATGCACTAACCAGCAGAGTACTGTTCCCCCACAGCTACATCTAAAGCCAGGTCTGACTTCCAAGGCTACTGTGAGCTCTACCCACTGTGTGGTATGACCTACTCTTCCCGTGCCCGCCACATTTCCATTTATGCCCATAGGCTGCAGAACTTCAAATGCAGCACTCCAAACTTGCTGCCTGACTCCAGCCCCTGAGAGACACCAAAGTGTCAGTGGTTTGGGAAAAGGGTCTCATTGCTCAGCTGCTTCCAGAGGCTGAGGCTCACACTGGGACTGGACAGAGAGGACCTCGTGCTTTGCAGGTGTGGAGACCAACGGCAGAGGGACGACTGGGGACCGTAACGCAGCCTCCTGCTCCTAAAAGGCACCGGGCTAACCCAGCTCCACCACAGGGCCAGTTTCTGTTCAGCTGTGTGACTTCTGGAAAAAGGAACCCATGTGATGTTTTGCCCCCATCTGAGTTTTCACACACTGGTATGCATTAGACCAGGTATCCTCAAACTACGGCCCGTGGGCCACATGTGGCCCACCTAGGACATTTATCTGGCCCGCCAGGTGTTTTTGCCACTGCTGCCTGTCCTGCTTAGCAGCCGACTACTCCCGGGGACTGCAGTCCGGCCCTCCAACAGTCTGAGGGACAGTGAACTGGCCCCCCCGTTTAAAAAGTTTGAGGACCCCTGCAATTAGACCTTCTTTTCTCTTCCCTGGAGAGCACAGATGACAGGAACAAGGAGGAAGGGGCCACATGGACCACCTGCCCCAGCCCTTCACTTCATGGTTGGAGAAGCAGGGGCAGGGAAGTGGGGCGCCTGGGATGAGGCCACTCCATGACCTCAGACTCCCAGGCTGGGCTCATGCTCCCTTCACCCCCAGCTGATGCAATCACATCCACTCCGTCACTGTCATGTCGGGGAGCTGTGGAGGACAGCAGAGAACACAGTCTGTAGTCTGGAAGGACAGGAGGGCTCAAGGCCCTTGGACCGGTCACTGGGATGATCAGGACCACCACCAGTGGCCTCCCCACCCAGCCTCTGGGGGCTTCACTAAGGTAATGGAGGAGGGTGCCCATAATAGGACTGAACACCGGAGTCCTCAGGATCACTCAGGAACATGCAGGCAGGGTCTCCTCCTGAGCAAGTCTCTCCCAGGGCCAGGTGCTGGTGATTCAGGGTAAACCAAAACTCTGATCTCCAGGGACTTGGGGGAAGGATCACAACTGGGGGTGATGGGGGCTGCAGAAGGAGAGGTAGGTACTTCCCCCAGTATAGGGAGTCAGGGAAGGATTCCCCATGGGGTGGAAACAAGATCTCTAAAGATCACTCAAAGCTAGCTAGAAAAACAAGGGCAAGAGAAACAATTCAAAGAGAGGGTGTATTCCAGGCTGAGCAAGGGTGGGGAGGGCCCGCAGCACACCCGCAGAGCCAGGAACGGCTCTGGAAAATGCATATCAGACAGCAAGATGGCAGTCGGAGGTGCTGGCAGCAACCAGACCTGGGGTCTTGCACACCTTATTAGGGGCTTGGGTTTGGGTCTGCGGGACATGGGAAGCCTCTGAAGTGTTCAGAGACCACTGACTTGGGAGACCTATGACTTCTCCTAACACCTCGGCTGGTGCGGGGCGAAGGAAGGATGCGGGTGTGGGAAGCAAAACCCAAGAAACTGCATGGAAAAGGAACCGAAGGCACGAAGAGCGGAACGGCAGGGAGCAGAGGTGGAGGGATCAGGGACTACGATCTCCAGGGGTCAGAGCAGGAGAGAGGCTGAGGCAGCGAGCTGGGTAGATGGGAGGCAAGATTTCCGACTAGTGGTTTCAGAGGGAGAGCAAGTTGAGAGGTCCTCTAGACGATGCTGAAGTCCCCAGGGTGACGGCAACAACCGGGAAAGGGAGGGAGGCGGAGTCAGCCCAACTGTGAGCTGCACAGACGAGGCCCATCTGCCTGGCTGGCACCTGCTAGGTGGTACTTGGCGGTGGTGTAAGGCTGTGGCAAAGAGCAGGGTTGACCGGTAAGGTGCCGTGACCAAGAATGGCTGGGGGTCCCAGGGGCACCTTGGGCCAGTCTCAAGCCCCATCTGCAACCAGACCTGAGAACTAGCCTGTTTTTTCTCAGGGACATCACAAAGCTCAGGGTAAAGGGCAAGGGTAAGTGAACACAAAGTCAAGGTCGGTGACAGGGCTGCAGCAATGTGGAGAGCTCACTACCAAGGTCAAGGTCGGTGACAGGGCTGCAGCAATGTGGAGAGCTCACCACCAAGGTCCAGGTCGGTGACAGGGCTGCAGCAATGTGGAGAGCTCACCACCAAGGTCCAGGTCGGTGACAGGGCTGCAGCAATGTGGAGAGCTCACCACCAAAGCCCAGCCTCGCTTTGCTCTTCTCCGAACTGAAGTGACACCACTTCAAGGGCTGCTCTGTGTGCAACGTGACTGAGATGCCAGGGTCGCAGCCATGTGCGCAGAGCTGTCCTCTCTGGACACCTGCGTGGGCTCGGCAGTGAGCTCAGGGGAATGCTGAGGGGCATGAACCCCAAGAACCCCAGCCTGTCCACCTGGCAGTTTGAGATCTAGGTTTTGCAGCTCCACACAAAATAATGGAATTATCAAGTTGAAATGAATCATTTAATGAGAATCTTCAAACTGCAGTGCTGGCTGAGTACTGAGCAAATCTCGGGGAGGGCATGACGCCCCCTCAGCTCCTGGTACCTGCCCCAGGTCTGAAATGCAGCGTCTGGGAGCACAGGCCTTTTTAACACCTCACTGCCGAGCATCTGAACCTTTTTGACAACAATTCTTTAAGCCGACTTTCACAGAGAAAACACTAAAGGAAAAATAGATTTCCTTTGGCCAGACAGCTCTTTCTTCCTCAATAAATAGGAACCACACTTGGAACAAAGAGGCAGTGCACGCTCTGGGGGACCACGAGCTTTATTGGCTGCAAGTTTTCCTCAGGAGCCTGGTCGGCTGGGGCTGGATGTTCCTGGATGGGGGCCCCCGGGCCTAAGCTAGGAAAACGGAGGAAAAAAAGAATTTTAAGTCCAATGGAGGATTTCTGAAGTAAGATCCCTGACAGAGTTAAAGGTGAGATTGTTACTATGAAACTGCTTTCAAAGACATACTGTTTGATCTGTAAATATTTACACAATAAAATAACAATGAGATCATCCTGTATTCATTCAAGAAATGTTTCTATAATGCCTACTATGGGCCAGACACTGTTCACTGTAATTTTCACTGATAAAAATAGGATATAAATTTGAAAATTAAAAATACCGCTGATGGCCTGGCATGATAAAAAAGAAACTTTTCATGCATTGTAGAAAAATACAACTCTGTTGAAGATGTGCCCCTTGGTTTCCCTTCAACTTCACATTTCAAAAGAAGTCATTTCTAGCCTTGCACCCACCCTGACCCTCCAAAGGGCGTGCAGTGCAAACCAACTCAAAGGCCATTACCTCCAGGTTTCCTCTGGCCTTCCGAAGGATTTTGTGGGTTACGACCACTGCAGAGAAAGCAAAGAGTGGGATGATAAGAGATATACACATCACACCATGGAATATTATGCAGCCTTAAAGAAAGATGGAGACTTTACCTCTTACATGTTTACATGGATGGAGCTGGAACATATTCTTCTAAGCAAAGTATCTCAAGAATGGAAGAAAAAGTATCCAATGTACTCAGTTTTACTATGAAACCAATTTATAGCTTTGTTATGAAAGCTATAACCCAATTATACCCCAGGAAGAAGGGGAAAGGGGAGAGGGAGGAGAGGATGGGTGGAGGGAGGGTAATTGGTGGGACCACACCTACGGTGCATCTTGCAAGGGTACATGTGAAATTTACTAGGTGTAGAATATAAATGTCTTAACACAGTACCTAAGAAAATGCCGTGAAGGCTATGTGAACCAGTTTGATGAAAACATTTCAAATTGTATATAAAATCAGCACATTGTACCCCATGATTGCATTAATGTACACAGCTATGATTTAATTTAAAAAAATAATAAAAAGAGATGTACACATCCAGGAGGGCCGTGTGAAAGCCAAGGGTAGGGAAGACGAGTTGTCCAACCCCAGGGGGTTCAGACACGTGGCCAGCCCTGATGCATCCAAACCAGAGAGAGGGATGAAGGGCCTGCTCACGCCATCACAAACCTCGGACCAAACAATCCATCAGAAAGGGGGGACCAGAGACACCTGTCAGGGCCTCGCTAAATCACAGCAATCCAGAGACCAGGGCGTGCTGTGCCCAGCTGCCCAGGCAGCCCTCAGCTCCCTCTGTGGGAAGGGATGTGCCCTGCTCCACAGGTACCCACATGTGGAGGCCTAAGTTACGTTCTATAAAGTCAAACGTTTACGTGGCAATTCTTAAAGCAGCGCCTCATGGCCACAGAGAAAGAAGCTTGGGCACTTTTTCCTCCCTCACTTGTGCTTTAGCTGGTGGAACAGTCCAACAGTTTCCCTAACGAGTCATATCTGCCTGGATAGCAGTGGGCTGAGCGGGGTGGTTTCAGAAGACCCTGCGACTCTACGCCCTGAGCTGTGGACTGGGCAGGTCTCAGCATGTCCCACCCCTGGACGGAGTGTGCCTTGCCTTTCAGGGAGACTCCACAGAGAGAGGCCATATCTCCTTCAAGCCTCTCGTCCAGCACAAGCTCCGGCAGCAGGAATGGGGACTGTGTTCTAAGTAGGGCTTGGTGAGGGGCAGGAAATCAGCTTGCTCCCTGGGTAGGACAGACACAGGCTTCTGGAGCTGAGCCTTTTGGCCAAAATGGACTCACACCCAACACATATGCTCCCCCAATGGCTTAGTCAGATAGGTGCTATGTGGCTTTGAGAAAATATTTATTTCTTGCCTCACAAAAATCTCCATCTGGAGGTAATGAAGTTTATTTGCAATCTGTGACATTGGGGAAGGGACAGACGGTGTGGGCTTTGTTTTTAACTCAGCAAAACAAATTTCAGAAGCAGCTACTGCCTCTCTGTCCCCACACTGCTGCAGGGCAGGAGTTCTTAACCTGGATGCATGATATGCCCTGGAGAGTCCTAAATCCACATACACTCTGTGCAAATCTCGGTGTGTATGGATGTACTCATTTATGGGAAAAGAAAGACGTAACCTTTCTCGAGATTCACCAAGGGTCCTGTGACCCAGAAAAGATTAAGCATCATGGCTGTGGAGGTTTGGGAAGAGGACTGAATGTACCCAGAGAACAAAATCCACAGAAGACCTAAGGACCCTGGTCCTGGTTTTGAGGAGACCCTTACACCTGACCAGTACTGCCCACACTCTAAAGCACAGAAATGCCCACTGCAGTGAGAAGACTGAGGGATCCAGTGGTAAAGGACTCATCCCAAATCGAGACATGCCCCAGCATGGAGATGTGATTCCCATCCATCCAGGGATCCCCAAGTCAGTCCAGGGCTCCTCCCACCTCAGCAGCATGCTGGGACCAGGTGGTTTGCCAACTGTGACCTCACTGACTACCCCCAAATCCCACATGGCAGGATTCCTACCCTCACCTGGCCAATAAGCACTAGAGGCTCGTGGTTCAGGCCATGTGGGCAGTGGGTGTGGGTGGCAGCGTGCTCGGATCCCACTGGAATGCAGTTTCCTTACCTTCTCCCTAAGGTTCTGGAAGCAGGTGTAGTGTCGGCTCTACTCCAGAAGGACCCTGGCCCTTGCTCTTCCCTTTCACCACGGGGGCAAGGATAAAGAGAGGACACTAAGCCAACTTTCACTGTGTCACTTTAGAGCCAGAGCAGATATGTGTGGCTGGCAGGGTTTAGGAAATTTCCAAGGACCTGACCTGTTGGGGTGAGCTGCCGAGCCTGGCATGGAAGGAGTTGCAGGGTGGGTCCTGGGGTCTCCCTAACCCTACTCTGGCTAAGCATGCCCCGTGCCAGGCCCTGGAGAGGCAGGAATGGGTGACACCAGGAGGGGAAATGCTATGAGATGCTTATCGTTCCTCTTACTAGGAGTGATCCGCTACCTCAGTACTTACGGTTTGGTCCGACCACATGGGTAGAAAGACCATGAGAAGTAACATTTGCTGAGCACCGGCTCTGTCCCTGGCCCCTGCTAAGTACAACATGGTTCAGCATTCCCATCTGTGTTTACAGATGGGGAAACAGAGGTACTTTGCTAACATTGTTAAGAGAACCCAGGCCCATTGGCCAGTTTAAGTCCTTTGGAATTACTGTCTCCTATTAGGGATAAGGATCTAAACCTCAGAGTTAAAGTCATTTAATCCAGGTCACACAGGAGAGTAGGACTGGAACTGTGCTCATCCAGCGATTCCATGCTCACTCGCCTAGGACACAGGGGACCTAGGTACTGCCTACAGGAACTTATCCCATCTGAACCTACTTCTGCAATTTCCTTGCTTGCAAAAAGGGTTTAACTACATGTGCCCTGTGACCGCTCAGGGCTGGGCTACCGAGGAGGAGAGGTACCAGTGCAGAATTCTGCCTTTCCTAGACTAGAGGGCTGAATAAAGCCTCACTTCCCGGCCCCTGCTGTTCCGAAGAGTCTGACTCAAACATTCTGCCACTTCCCCAGCATGGCCATGGCTGGATCCTTCTGTAACCCAGGTCCCATCCAGAGTGCCTTTTCTCTGCGAGTGACATGAGACTCTCAGCCATAACTCTGGAGGCTGACCTCCTTCCTACCTTTCAAAACTCTCTGTCCCAGCTCACCTGGGCTGCCACAGCCCCTAAGGAGGCTCCCTGCCTCCTGGCCCCTCCCAGCTCAGCCATGAAACCTTCTAACACACAGTGGACCATGCCAGTGCTGCAGTCTGGCCACGGGCTCCTTGTAAGCCAGTGCCTACTCACCTCCCTCACAGGAAATGCCTGGGCACATCCTAAGCATGTCCCTGAACACTCGGTTCTCTCTGGCTTCGGGGAGAGCAGCGGCAAGGCCATGCGGTTGTCTGCCAGGGTCCTGCTCCTGCCCTCTGCTATCTGACTCCTGCTCATCCCTCAAGACCAGCCTGGGCCCTGAAACACACGGGCCCCTGGGAAGCACTCAGCACTGGGCCTTGCAGCACATCTTTGCTTCCCCACAGCAAGCCCAAGATGCTGACTGGCAGTGGCTGCCTCATCCACTTCTGTCCACAGAGCCTGGACAGAATGGGCACTCAGCTCAGTGATTTGGCTTCTCTCTTTTGCTGCTCAAACTCTGCCAGTCTCACAGAGCCTATTTCCAGAAGGTTCCCAGAGGGCAGCTAAGGAGAACTATTACTTGGCAATAATCTCTGTTCTGCGTTTCTCAGAAATGCCCCAGAAACATTGGACTTTGACAAGAAAGCAGCACAAGGCAGGCTGGCACCTCCAGAGAGGAAAGCGCTGCAGTCAGCAGCTCTCCTACAACGGGGAAACTGACACGCAGACAGCACAAGGCCGGGCCAGGGCTGCGCTGCCAAGAGCACAAACAGGAGCTCACAGCTGCCTACTCATAAACACGCAGGGAGGGAGTGCTGAGGTTTAAACCAGGGAAATGGGGCTGCTCCCCAACAATCTCTCAAGTCACTAGATCAGAGCTGGGCCTGACCTTACAGAAGGTACTAAACCTCCCTGATGCCGAGTTTCAGTGTCGCCCTGAGAACTATTTCTCAAACCCATGCCGTCCTCTGGCTCCCCACCATCCTGGCCCAGGACTTCCCCCCTTTCTTGTCTCACTAGAGAGTTGGCCCCTGCTCAATGGTGGAGCAGACACCAGCGAGCCATCCTTGCTCACAGATGTGACAAGCTGGTCCTGTGCTCGGAGCGTGCCCACCTCAGGCCTCTCAGTTCAGTCACTGGTCCCCCTGACCACTCCTGCTTCAACCTGTCATTTGTAGCTTTTACTCCACCAGCAGGACCTGGTTTTGGTTTCACAAATACAAAAGCATACGTCTTGCCTCTGTCCACACTGTTCCCTACCTGGACTGCCACTCCCTGGTCCATCTGATGACGCCTACTCCTCCTTCCAGACTTACCTCTGTGTCACTTCATCCAAGATGCCCACCCTCCTCCCATCCCAGGACTCTTGTAAGGCCCTATGTGTGTTCCCACCACTGCACAAGCCGCACACCTGTCTCCCCAGTGGGATGACAGTCCCTGGCATCAACGGGGTGCTCTGCAAAGGTCTCTTAAGTGACTACATTTGTCTCTGTGAGTCAGAAAGGATGGAGTATGAAAAGAAACCCATAAATAGGAGGCATGATCACAACAATCCGGGCTCCAAGGTAGGTAACCCAGGGCCGGCCTGCCAGCCCTCGGAGGCAGGAAGTGGACAGACGAGGCAGCCATCCCCGCCACTCACTTACACTGATCAAAGATGACTTTCTCCTGGTGCTTGCTCAGCTGCAAAAGCTGCACAGTGTTTTGCAACTTCTTTTCTTGTTCAGACAATTTTTTGTGCAGTTCGGTGATCTCTGCTTTCAATTCTCCAATCTAAAAGAAAAAAAGAATTAGAAAAATGTTCTAAGAATGTAACACATCACATTATGTAGGAAGAATTGCAAACACATACAAAGATATTCAATCTCACTGACAAAAACATTTGAATAAAAACTAGAAGCCTTTTCCCACCAATTAGATCGGCAAGATCAAACGAAATCCAGCGAGGGGGAGCAGAAAGTACCCTCGTGACTGTAGGCAGGACTGTAAGTTGGCATGGCCCAGCCAGAACACCTTGGCAAGAGCGCTCAAGCTGTAACATACACTGGACTCATCGACCCAGCAATTCTACTCCTTGGCATTCACCCCAGGGAAGAATAATAACGTAAGCATAAGAAGATGCCTGTGTACAAGGATGTTTATCTCAGCACTGTCCATGGTAGGAAAAAATAAAGAACCTGATTTGTTTTAATATAGACCTAGATAAATTATGGTGCTTATATATAATGAAATAAACTTGCAGCTATTAAAAATTATATTGAAGAGCTCTATTTATTGATGTGAAAAGATGATCATAATTGGTGACACAGGGGCCAAGAACACACACTGTACATAAGGCCTTCTTGGGTCATAAAGCTGACTATATACCACGTGTATCCACATCCACAGATGTTTATACTGAGATGTCATCAAAATGTTAATAGTGATTATCTCTGCAAGATATGATTTCAAATCGAGTTTATTTTTACCAAAACATTAATGCTGACTTAAAAAAACTGTTTTAGATATTTAAATCTTTAAAGAGTATGACCCATTAGGAGAGCCTATTTTGGTTTTTCAGAGGAGAATGGTGAATGGGTAACAAGACCAGACCTCTAGTACTTCAACATGAAATACACAGAGAGACTCTCTTAGCCACCTGCCACCAAACCAGCTCACAGGGGTAAGGACACTCATCATCCTTCAGTAAGACACCCGGGCACAAGCTGCTCTCTGCTCTACTGAACAACCTCTGCTCCCAGGAGCAGAGATGGTGAGTTGTTAGCTTATGAAAAGTGACCTTAGTTTGTTCCCAAATTTGTTTAGGGTAGTTGTAATCAAATTACATAATTAATTTAATATTAAGTAAGCCCATAAAATAAGTGTATTAAAAGAGAAAACTGGTTGTATGAAAACTAACATATGCTTCAGAAAAGACTTGATAAAAGCAAGTCACTAAAAAACACATTTCTGGCAAATTAGGTGTGGGTGAGACAACTATAAAAGATGTGGGAGGAACACAGTCTAGAAGAATTCTATATTCAAATTGCTTTGCAAGTGTCTAAGTTTTCTCTTCATCTTAAAGAAACAGAAATTGAAAGTGACAGACATACATTATGGATGTAGTTTATGAAAGAAAGAAGATGTGGAACTCCAATCAGCAGACCTAAATTCAAAGAAAAGGCCCTGGCCTGACATCAAAAGAATGGCAAATGAATGTACATTTATCTGTTTTAAGTTAAACTAAAATGTTTAAGGTACGCATCACTTTTTGATTCCCTGCCTTAACCTACTTTTAAGATTAACTAGTCGTGTCAGGTACGGGGACTTCAATGGTTCTTCCCAAACAGATCCTAATTTTAAACATTAGGTTTGCTTTGATTCTCTTCCGCACAGTAAGAGCCCACAAAGATTTAGGGCTTGGTCATGGATCTACAGACCACACATTCCAAGGCCCAAGTTTCCCTCCAGTCAGAGCCTTAGGTCCTCATCTATCATATTGGCATAGTCACCTCTGACCCATCACACTGCAGCAGAGTGAGCCTCAAACATGATGCTGTAAGATGAACAGTGATCAGGTCAAGTCCTGCCTGGCCACCCCATTTCTCCTCCCAGAGTCAGCTCAGGTGTCAGCCCCTCCAGGAGGCTTTACTTGATGGCCCTTCCCCACCCGTCTGGTCACTGCTCCTCTGGGTGCCCATGGCGCTCAGTGCCCCCCACATCACAGTGGGCTGCAGTAACTGGGTGTTCACTTGCTGGCCACAAGCTCCCTTCTTCCCTCTGTTCACCAGTGCCTTGCACAGAGCAGGTGCCAGGATGCTATACGCCAACTAGCGGGTTAATTTTCACTGGCACTCTCCTTACATCCTATACACATTCTAACCAGCACTTAAAACAAAGAATTTTAATTATTTATATGTCTGCTGCTCCACTGGATTCGACTCTCCATTTTTACAGGATGAGCACACTATGGTAACAACAGCAGGGGCTCCCAAACAGCGCTGCCACTTCCCAGCGACACGATGCTAGAGTCATTCTACCTCTGAGATTTCAGTTCCTACCTCTGGAAAATCAGAATAATAGCTAACTCCCTGAAGGTTATGGCAAAGGATAAAATGAGACGCTGATTGTGAGCAGAGTGCTGGGCGCCCGGCAGGAGCTCAACAGAACACAGAGCTGAGCGCCAGCCCGAAGCCACACCGGTCCCCTCTGGGAGGCCTCAGCCTGCTCCACCAGTGTTCCCACCTGACTTCCGGGGCAGGATGTTTTCCTTCTCTGTTTTCCTTTTATAATGAAAAGCCTCCAACATTTATAAAATTAGGAAGAATTGGATAATGAGCCCCCAGGCAGCCATCCAGCTTCAGCAATTACTAATTCATGGTTAAACTTGTTTCTTCTACATCCCTGCTCATGCTGTCCCCAAGATTATTTTGAAACTAATCCTAGAAGCCAATCATATCAACTATAAAATATTTCAGAATATATCTCTAAAAGGAAAATGGCTCCTTTAAAACACACATTAAAAAAAAAAAAAACTCACAGTATCATTACCCCACCTAAAAACTGGCAATTCCTTAACACTGGCATTACCCCACCTAAAAACTGGCAATTCCATAACACTAAGTATGGAGTCAGTGAACACAATCTCCCTGCTTGCTTCATAATTTTATTTTTTTAAACAATTGGCTTGATTCAGGATTGAAATAAGAGCCATACTTTGCATTTATCTCCTAAGTTTCCTTTAATCCAGTGGTTCTCAAGGCTACCTACAGAGCTGAAAAATAAGACTGCAGGGGCCACTCTCAGAGTTTCTGATAGAGAAGGTCTGGATGAGGCCTGAGACTCTGTACTTGGGACAAGTTTCCAGGTGATGCTGCTGCCTTAGGTCCAGGATCCACACTTTAAGAACCACTGTGAAGCGGGTTATTTTCCTCCTCCCGCCTTGTGCCTTTTCACACCAGGACAAAGTACAATCTAAGCGCATATTATAGGTTTCCTACCCCACACCTAGGAGCTGGCCAGTTCTCCAAAGAGCCCTAGATCCCTTCAGTAGGAAAGGAATTTAGAAACAACAACAATTTGAGTACATGAGTGCTCCCTGGTACTAACACCTTCTATGTGGAGAGGGTCACATCACAAGTTCATACTGACATTTGCTTCAAATTCAGAATTATAGGTCATCATTTCTTTCATTTTATGTTTATATAAATATCTTACAAAAATCTCAGTTCCTGCTGGGCGCTGTGGCTCACACCTGTGAGGCGGAGATGGGCAGATTGCCTGAGCTTAGGAGTTTGAGACCAGCCTGAGCTAGTATGAGACCCTGTCTCTAAAATTAGCCAGGCGTTGCGGCGGGCACCTGTAGTCCCAGTAATCCTAGCTACTCAGGAGGCTGAGGCAAGAGGATCACTTGAGCCCAAGAGTCTGAGGTTGCTGTGAGCTATGACACCACAGCACTCTGCAAGGGTGACAAAGTGAGACTGTCTCAAAAACAAAACAAAAAAATGCAGTTCCTAATGAAATTAATGATATATTTTATCTTACAATACAAATATATTAGTTTCAGAATATTAATACCAATAGTATTACTAACAACATAATCACTGAAAACAGTTTAAATTTATTTTGGTAGTTCTTTTTTGCCCTTAGAATACTACTACTTCTTCTAATGCTCTCAGAGTGGTTTACATAAATTTCTACTACCATGTTTCCCCGAAAATAAAACCTACCCAAAAAATAAGCCCTAGTAGGATTTCTATGCATTTGTTAAATATAAGCCCTACCCCCATAATAAGACCTAGCGATGGGCATGGCTATGCAGATATGGTCCTGCATTTTGGCACAGAGCGGTAAAGAAGACTGGAATACCTTAAATCTGCCACAGCTCCTTTCTCCAAGATGGTCGCACTTGTGCGGGTGTGCAAGTGGTAACCTTGGTCACAGCCATCCTATTGCGCATGTGTGAACAGCTAGGGGAAAGGAGTTCACGCATCACTAGTGCCAGCCCCACCAACAAGGTTGGCTCCCCCTTTCAGGTTCCAGAAGAAGATGACTTAACTGTATTTGAATAAACACCGATTGTTGTATTATACTTAATAAAAATGAGACATCCCCTGAAAATAAGCCCTAGTGTGTCTTCCTGAGAAAAAATAAATACAAGACAGTGTCTTATTTTCAGGGAAACATGGTAGGAATGAATGGTCAAATTACTGTTTTAGTCCTGAAAGGTGAATCATTTCATCATGCATACAGTTGTTCATTTCATCAATGCATACAGCAAAGTTTGAATCATTTCATCATGCATACAGCAAAGTTTGTTTCATATTGCTGTGAATTTTTAGAAATTACTTTTGCCCATTTTGATTTCCTTATAATTATATAATGCAATTATGCAGTGTCAGAGTCAAATCTACAAAACAAGGACTATTCAGAGACATCATCTATCCCTACAAGGAGCCTATTTTGTTATTTATCCTCCATTTAAAAAATTATAAGCAAGTACGTGTATATGTTTGTACCCGCCACATAACTTTTTTTTTCTTTTTGAGACAGGGTCTCACTCTGTTGCCCGAGCTAAAGTGCTATGGTGTCATCATAGCTCACCATAGCCTCCAACTCCTAGGCTCAAGCAATCCTCCTACCTCAGCCTCCTGAGTAGCAGGGACTATAGGTACCTGCTACCACACCTGGCTCATTTTTGATTTTTTGTAGAGACAGGGTCTCACTCTTACTCAAGCTGGACTCAAACTCCTCTCAAACAATCCTCCTACTTTGGCCTCCCAGAGTGCTAGGATTACAGGTGTGAGCCACCATACTCAGCCCCTTCCACATAACTTTCTTAGATAAACACACTTTCCAGAGCTGTCCTATGGACTCCATGGGATGGCATTTTAAATGCCAAGGGCAAATTAATGGTACTCTGAGAAATCACCAGGTAGTTAAAAAAAAACCTTGGGGTTGCTGGTGAAGATGTGGAAATCTGCTTTACACAATTTCACACCAAGCAAAGGCTCTGTATGAAACACAAGCAGTGAGAGAAAAGTGGCTCGAGGCAATTTAACACCACTCAGGGAGTCTGTGTATACCAGCAACCACATCAGCACATCTCAGAGGTCCCTTTTCTGGCTCTACAATTCTATGCTGCAACATTGGGCATAATCGATTACCCAAGAAAAGAAGGGTGAGTCCCCATGGGCACCCACCAGGCCCGGACTGTGTGCACCCAGGGCAGATCAGTGTGGTTGTAACGTGTGTGTATAGGTTACATATAATATACGTGTTTAAAAATTAGGAAATACATTCTGCCTGTCTAATAGTTACAGACAGTAACTATTAGTAATATGTGCTAAGGACAACAGTATTGCATTCAGAGTCAATTGTTTGGTTCAGACATGTTTGGTTTAAAAAACAGCAGGTACTAGAGTTTGGGGGTATGGGAAGAAATTCATTCATTCAAAAATATAAAAAATAGATGGTCCTCTGAAGGAAAACAGAGAAGGGCAGACACTAACCAATACAAACCTGTACTAAGGGCTATGGTCAAACAGAAGAAGACGCCACGCCTCAGGGGCGAGGAAGCCCCTCCAACACTGTGGTAGCCGTTAATCCGAGACTTAAAAGGTGAGCAGGAGCCAGGAAGGGTCTGGGACATTCTAGGCAGTCAGACCACCTGTGTCCCCTAAGCCTGTGGGCAAGGAGCTCGGTGGGGAGAAGGAAAGAAAGGCCAGGGTGGGCTAAGCCCAGTGAGGCCCACCCTTCCTCCTTGATACACCCCTACCCGCCACAAGTGGGCAAAAAATGACTTCCTATACAACAGAAGGTCACGAACTTCCCCCCCAGGATCCCAAGACGGAATCTTTGGACAAAGAGGGCTGCATCACCGGCCACTTCATCGCCATGTTTGATAGATTTGAGAGCTGTCAAAAGGGGTGTAACTAAATGAGGTAATGATGTGGGATGCAAATTTCCCTTCTGCCTTCCCACTGGCCTTTGGCAAGAACTTACAGATTAGATAAATAAAGGGGAAACTACCTAAAGGCCACCCAGTGGAGAGTCCCAGCTTCCTTGACCTGTGTGCCCCTTCTTCCAGGGCGGTTTCTCTGATAAGCCAGAGGTGCTCACTTTGCCATGGCACCACGTGTGTCCCACAGACAGAAGTCAGGGGACAGTTTCTACTCTGCCGACTCCTGATTCGCAGCCTGTCACTCCTAAATAGTTAAAACAGATTTTGAACAAGGCTTACTAAATTATGATGCTGAAAGCTATCAACAAGAATCAGAAGGTCCAGAGAAAGGGAAATGCAAGGGATTATGAACAGAAAAGAATGAGCTGGTCCATGGGGACAAAGTGGGACTTAAAGCATACGAAGGAATCAACTCTGGGTTCAGACACTTAGGCTTTCCAACCAGCTCTGCACCATGACCAAATATCTCAACGCCCCAAGTCTCAGTTTTCTTGTGAACAGAATGCGCACTGGATCCTACTCAACAAATACACACTGAGAGGGGGACACTCAGTGAGACAGGGCGAGCCCAGACGGGGATCGGTGGGAACACAGAGAAGCCACAGTGAACACGGTGCCTTCCCCTCCCTCTGACACATCTGCTGTGGCCGAGGTCCCAGGCTAGGGTTAGAAGAGACTGGACAGACACAGGCCCCAGCGGCATGCTTGAGCCTCTAAATCGTGAGTCACCACCTACCTGCCCGCAGTGAAGGCCACACTGGCCATCTGTGGGAAGCGAGACTCTCCAGAGAAGCTGCAGTTGCCTGGAGGCCTCATCCAGAATCAGCTTGGCTTCGCTCACTTGGGTGATAAACTTGCTTAGCAGCACCAAATGTGGACCCTACGTGGGAGGATGAGAAAGTTGTCATATGTAGTCTTGAAAAAGGTTAGGACAAGCAAACTTTAACTGGCAGCATAAATCTCCACACTGTAGGGCTTGGGTTTCACACACCGAGCAAGAGCCTGGTGTCACATGACACCAATTTATTGTCCTTAAAGACTAGTGAATTGTAGATTATGAGAGAATTTCAGCCGTGATTTTCACCCAATCAATAACCATGATTAATAAGCACCAGCAGTAACTAGAGTTACTAAGCCAAGAGGAGGATCCACGGGAGGGCTACTCACGCTGCTCTGCAGCCCACAGGGATGCCCCCGAGCAAGGGACACTGGCAACTGTAGCAACATCAATGTTTTTGCCTTTAGCAGTCCCTATTAACCAGGTGTCCTCAAACTTTATCCAGCCTGCCGGGTGTTTTTGCCACCGCTGCCTGTCCTGCTTAGCAGCTGACTCGTCCCGGGGCCCTCAGTCCAGCCCTCCAACGGTCTGAGGGACAGTGAACCGGCCCCCTGTTTAAAAAGTTTGAGGACCCCTATTATTAACCATCCCTGTGAATAAGATAGCAGGGTTGTAAAGTCTCACCCACCCTCTCTGCCGGCAGAAACAAACTCAAATTGAGGGAGGCAAAAGCCATGAGAAAACAAAGAATTATGACACAGAGAAGGGGAAACTGGGAAGAAAAGGAGTATCTGTTTTCACAAGTAATAACATAAATACATGAAATGCCACTCCCTTTTAAAATATCAAATTGAGAAAAAATCAATATTAAAAAAATACTCAATGAAAACAAGTATAGCAGATAGATGTTCACAAACAGAGATAAAATCTATTTAGAAAGCAGTGCCACAGTGACCATTAGCCAGAGCCCTAAAAGGTTCACAGCCTTGGAACCAGTAATGAAAAAAATGCAATGACATGAAAGGATGCTCATCCCGGTTCAGTGTGCCCCAAACAAGTGAGAGAGTAAATAAATGATGACGCACCTACATACTAGCTTATCTGGCAGTCATTAAAAATCAAGTGCTAGAGAAATAATTGAATGAGATAGGAAAATGTCAGTATGATGTCAACTGAAATGCCTAAAACTCATGAGTAGGTTTGATAAACTTTATGAGTGACTTAAAAGCACATATGTCAAAATTTTAAGTGCTGGCCTCTCCGTGGCATTTTGACAAATGTTTTGTTTTTATGCTTTTTATAGTTTCTAGTTGTTGGACAATAAAGATTATCATCAAAAAAGAGTAATACTCTTATTGATATTTATTACTTTATTCCACAAACATTTACTAGGCCCCTTGGCCCATGCCTGGCCCTGTGCTAGGCAGTGGCTGCCCCACATCACACAGCACTGGCACCACAGACACTGCTGGTGCTTTCCAGAGCTAACTATCTAGGGGAATAGAAAATGCAGACTTGATTTTTGTAATACAGTAAACAAAAAGTCAAGACAAGTATCCTCAGTGAGGAGCTGAGAAGAAGGATCAATAAATGTGACCCACAGACGCTCAAAGGTCTGGTCCGGTCTGGAGAGAAAACAGAAATCCTCCCTCAAGCCCTGGAGGTGGTGAAGAGTGAAGCCTGTCAGCACACGGGTCCTGCCAGTAACTCTCAGAGGAGGCAGGGAAGGAGGGGCAGGAAAGGCGCTTGGGGAGACTCCACACAGGAGCAACGCGGGGAGCCAGGCTAGGGAAGGCAGGCAGCCCAGCCTGCTCTGAGCAGACACACAGGAGGAGGTGGGGAGGCAGGCAGAAGCCGGACTGGAAATCGGAGCGCCCTGCAGCTGCTGCCCAGGGAGAAGGGGTGACTGGCACCTCGCGAGAGGAGAAAGCAGTATCATGACACAGAGAAGAGCACCCTGGAGGACAGAGAGCTGCTCAAACATTGTCCCCTCCACGTGTAATTTCCTCAGCAGCTGTAAAGGTGGCCCCCTATCACCTACATCATAGGGCTGCTCTGAGGAGGGAACAGGACCATATAAAAAGCCCCTCTGCAAGAAGAGGTGGAGTTGCCAACAATCTCGAGGCGCCTGTGGGAGGCCTCGCCCCGGCAAGCTCATCCCAGCAGCTGCAGATGCCACGGCATGGCACAGGACACTTCATGAGGATCAGGGCCTTATCTTCACCACAGGAGCCCCGGAGCCTGATGGGCCACAGACGGGACTGGCGGGAGCACGGACACTGGGGTGCGGGTACAGAGGACAGATGAGTAAGCGGACAAATGGGAGCACTGGCCCAGGATCCCAGACAAGTGGCTGCAGGAACACAAGACATAAACCTCAACAAGCTGCTCCCCCACCAAAAGCAACAACACCAACGGTCCCCTGACAGTGGACCTGACCTCTATGCTCTCATGGGCCACAATTCCTGGTCCCTATTCTTGGGGCCTTTCAGAGGACAATACCACTTGCCTCATAGTGCTCTTGGCTAACTCCTTCTATCCCGTCCCCAGGGAAAATCTCCCTTGCTCTGTAGTCAGGTTACCTTTGTTGCCAGCTCTTCACTCGTAGGGCCAACAGCCTCTTGGGTCTGAATGTGCATTTGGGCAAGGAGCCTCTGGGCCTGGCCAATCTGCATGCACAGAGCCTCAAAGTCCTCAATCAGGCCCAGGACATGGTGGCCATCCTTGCTGGCCCACAGGTGGGAGTCAGTGACCAGGTGAGACACACCTGGGAGGCTGGCTGAGCTGCCACTGTCACAGGAGAGGGAGTCCACGTCATTCCCAGAGAATGGAAAGGTCTCTGAAGCTGCAAAATAAAAGATAAGATGGCAGCTCTGTTTGGGACAGCACCCTTCATTCAAGGAACACACGCTGCAGATACTAGCTAAGAGGACTAAGAGAGGCTTTCACAAGCCAAATTCAACTCCACACAAACCTGGGGGTGGGGGAAAGAGGCTCCGGACCGCAGTCTGTGTATTACCCTCAGTCTGTGTATCCCCTACCCCAGGCTCAGCGCCTGTCTTGTGGGAGAGGCTCCTTTAACCAACACTATCAACCAGGCACCCCTCAGCAGAAGACCCCCCGCTTCACACAAATGAGTCGAGCACCCAGCCTGATTGGACATGTGCACTGGAGGAGACCCACAGGCAACCGTGAAGAGTGAGCTGAGAGACAAAGCCAGCACCTGTGCAGGGACGGAGTGCTCAGGGAGGCTGCTAGGAGAACAAAACTTTTAAACAGATGCAGCAGGTGAGCTGGACTGCACAGGTAGCCAGGATTATGCTAAGGAGAAGCAAAGGCCTGTGGCTTTATCTCTGGATCACGGGAAGTACGGACAAGTGATCGTGCCCCACACAGCAGGAAAGGCATTTCACAGGAGGGCCTGTGCTCATGAGGAGCCCTGACCATGTGTTAGCAGTCACAGCAGGACTTTCAATGGCAGAGACTGGGACAAGGGGAAGTCTGGAAGTCACAGTAAGAGGAGACAGCAGGCCCGTCCGCAGGATGGTGACCTTCTGTGTGCCCACACCAGGACAAGTGACAAGGCTGGACAGAGCTAAGATGATCACTCTTTAATCCCCAGCAATAAGGACTCTACGCATTTGCTAAGGTTGGTGACACCAAGCAGGAGATCTCCAGCTAGAGAGGCCCCTGCCAAGCTCCTTCCTGCACTGGGACCAGGGAGCCCCATTCTTTAATTTAAAAATTCTACACCCACCCCCAATACTACCACAGTTGTTCAGACTTCAGCTTCATACCTGATTTTGGTGTCGCTGCCTGAGCAGAATCAAACAGATCAAATGAATTATCACTTGCCATGAGACCTTTGTTACCATCTACAAAATGCAAAACAGAGGAGAATAAAGGCACTAGTCTCACTGTCGTCAGCACGTAAGAGGGGAGTGAGGTCACACATACACACTCGAGCTCAGACACACAGGCACTTACGCAGATCTTCACTGGGCACCCATCCTGCCAGGCCCTGCGCAGGACACCAGGGAGACAGACCAAGCAGGCCCAGACCCTTCCCTAGAAGAGCTCTCCCGTCAGACCAATGAACAGGCAGGTCCACTCGAGTGTGACAGGGGATGGAAGCACAGGGCCATCGGAACTCAGGTGAGAAATGTGGATCCCAACTTGGCTCCCCAAAGGCTAGTACCTGCACTATGTTTTTGATTGTGACCAACCCACCCACGGAAAGGAGGGAAAGGAACCCCAGGCAGTGGGAAGAACAGGGGCACAAGCAGAAAAGAGTGAGCCAGGACCAGGGAGAAACAGCAGGTCACATGGCTGAGGCCTGGGTGCTAGGGAAGGACACAGTGGGATGCAAGGACAGAGCTGTGAGGACTGTGGGACCCACACAATGGCCTCCAGCAGGGTGACATCAGGCTGAGATGCTTGTTCTGGACTGTAGCAGTGAGTCTGGAGGCTACAGCAGTAACCTGAGCTGGAGAGGACAGAGTCCCACACAACGAGCTGGGGGTGAGGCACTCGAGACACGGTGAGAAGGCAAAGTCAACAGATGCTGTACGGATGATCTCTGTGACACTTTATGATAAGGAAAGAACTTTTGCAGCTGAAACCCATTGGACTCTCAGCAGCTGGGTGGACAGGACAGCTTTATAAAGCAGGTTTCATGGAAGCGGAGACCATGGGGCAGCAGACGAGAAGTGATCCACCAGTATAACTCAGCATGTCAGTGGCAAAGCAAGGACTGTCCAGGTCATAGGATTCCCTACCCCAGCTCCTTCCATCCCCGTGCCACTAGGCAAGGAGCTGACTGCCTTCAGCACTTCCCAAGGGTGCACTGCGATTCCCAAGGCTGAGGTGCTGGCCCCTAAGGGAATCACTTTCAGCCAAAGCAGCCTTTGGAACAAAACTTTTAAACAGATGCACTTAAATATAGCCCTGAAAAGTCTTTCACAAAGAAAGAAATGCTGCTGTCTGTGACAGAATTCTGATCTTGACTCAAGGAAATTAGAAAACTTTTCTGCTGAGGCAGCACTGTGAATTCTGAACACTCCTGATGCCTCTTGCCAGGCAAGCCTAGGGCTGCCTCTGAACAAATTTCACAAGCAGGTAAAGGCTGTGACTCGGCCCCCTCACTTCAGCTTCCCGACCCTCCTCCCTGGGCAATCCAAGTACAGGATTGTTCTCCTTCCTCTAGTCTCCCTAGCCCATCCCCACAAAGAATCATCTCCTAAAAAGGGCCAGGAGCAGGCCTATATTTGGAATGGCAATGCCCAGCGCCGATGAGATCATGCTAAGGCCGCTGCCTTTGCACACTGCTGACCTGTAGGCTACTTAGAAGGCAGCCACATGGCACATTCCAACCCTTCAAGGTTCCCCTAGCAGGACTTTATCCTGAGAATATTGTTTAACAGCAAAAAGCATATTAACATTGATGTTTATGAAGCTCCAAATCAGACTCCATTTTAATAATCAACCATAATGGTTCGGGGACTGACAATAACCTGGAAACAACCATTCGGGAACCCACGGGAAAGCAAGGGCAGTTTGTGTGATGTAATTTCGGCCAGAAACAAGGAAAGGACAGAGAATGGCACAAACCCAATTTGAACACTGTAAATCCATGCCTATATTTGATTTTAAAATGAAGAGAAATATGCAAAGTTTAAAAAAAATGATTGTTGTAAGAATCATGATGGGCTTTTTTCCCTTGTGCTTTTTTTCATATTGTTACATCTTTTAGTTTAAAATTTTAAAATCCTTATCAAGAAAAAAAAAATCAATGAACTAATCACTATTAGTTCTAAATCTGACTAGGTTCTCTTTAAGAGATTTTTGTCTAATTAAAGGCAAAAGATTTTATTCCCAATCCAAGTAAAGATAAACCCAAACTGTAGTGCAATCCTGATCCATAAAGTCTGTGGGCATCCCCGTCCCACTTTACGCAAACCCCCCGCCCCCCATGGGAGTTACAATCATAACCCCTGACACCCGAGGCTCCAAGCTGAAAGTGGTTTCTATCTCCAGCTCTGCCATCTACTTGCTGTGTCACTGGGGCAAACTCCTTCCACTCTGTGGGCCTTCGTTCCTTCCTCCCTAGAGCAAAGAGGGAGGCCTGGCTGACAGTGTTGAGCCTGACTGTTTGCTGGATTGCTCCAGCCCCTATGCTGGGCAATGGCAGATGTCTAGTCTTCCTGCTGCTGCCCCACACTGGTTCTCCAGGGCTAAACCCACAGTGGATCAACTTTTCAAACCTGCCAGGATGCTTTCCGGGTCCTGAAGACGCTGAAAGCCATAGCAGGTAGCTTAGATTCTCTTTTACAGGCAGTAAGAGGGACTAAAAAGGATTTTCAGCACTGGAGTGATATGGGCAGGACTAAATGGGTGACAGGGAGGAAGACTGTTGGCATCGAGGGCAGCTGGAAGCCCAAATTGCACTTTCCTTAGGACCAAGATACCCCACACAGAGATTACATTTTGCCAAAGGTGACAGCTAATTAGTGGCCAGGTCCCCTGGCTCCTAGGATAGAGCATGTCTGTTGTCAATGGAAAGACACCTCCATGGGTGAAGAAGCATTCAGAAGCTCATGGGCCACACAGAGACTCAGCTGCATTTTCAGAAGTGAGTAAAAGCAGGCGCTGTACCGTGTATGTCTAGCTGAAGCGACTGCTGGGGGACGGCCAGCGCTTGGACAGCCAGAGCAAGGGCTCCTTCCTCTGCCTCCTCTGCCCCCCTGGCCAGCTGCTCCTCCAGCCTGTTCTGCAGCGCACTGTTGGTCTCGATGCTCCCTTCCAGCTGTGCCCGCAGGTCCTGGATCTCGGTCAGGAGGCCGTGCAGGTCACTGCAAGGCTCCTGCCCCTTCCAGCCTTCTCCCGACTCTCTGGCCTCTGCAGATATGTACAAAGAGAAGGCGTGACTTCTTCCTCACCACAAGGTCGGCCATCAAAGGAACTCAACAGCCTCTCAAACCCACACTGCCATCGCACCCCCCTTCCCTAAGAAGCAGGTACAATGTAAAATAACAACTTGACTTTGGAAACAAAGAAATTGGCAGACTTAATTGCTCCTATTCCACAGGCTAAATAAGAGCTGGAAATTAATTTTCCCTCCTGGCCATAAAAGCCTAGCAAATAGCACACCAAACCCCAAAATTATGTCTGGTAGTAATAAAATCTATTTGGGCTGGAATTATAGAATGAAAGGGGATGATTTTAAGAGCCACAGTATATTAAAAAGATACAACAGCAAGAATAAGAAAAGCAACTTGAGGAGAAAATGAAAGCTGTGAGATGACCCTTTTCTAGATAAACTTTCAATAGGGAGAAACCATCTGGGAAATTAGTTTAAAAAAAAACCACCACACCTCAAAATTGATTCTGAAATATTACACTTTATGGTAGAGTCTTTCCAATCTGGTATCTCTCTTAGGATACAGAGAGTCCTGGGGCCACAACCGCCTCCCAGAGCAGCAGATACTTGTGGAACATTTCCGGCATATGGAAAGTTCTCCACAAATATTTGCTGAGTGAATGGGTAAAAAGAAATGCCCACTGGCAGGAGAAGCTTTCCTGAGTTCAACAGTGCCTGAGTGCCCACTAAGCGCCAGGTGCTGTGCTGGGATGTGTTCGATAATCCATTCTCACAACTCTACACGGTGAGTATTAAAACACATGTTTATAGAGGCAAAAACAGGCCCAGAGGGTGGTGACCTGCTGAAGGTCACACAGCCAGGAGGAGGGAGAGAGATTCCAAATTTCCGCTGGCCTAACTCCAGAGCCTAAGTCCTTCCACGAGGAATTTCCTGCCTGCTGTGACTTCAGAACAGGAGTGGGCCAAGACACAGTGTGGGGTCTGACAACAGCCCTTCAGGAGAGTGCTGGGCTCTGCCCCCCGGCCAGCTGCCCAGGCAGGTTCATGGCCCAGCAGCAGCCCCAGGCGGAGGACAGCCTTGGAGCAGAGCACCCAGTACCTCTCAGTCTCCTGTGCTCCTCATCCAGCTTCTCGTACACCTTCAGTTCCACTCGCAGGGACTGGAGTAGACTGTCGTTCTGGGAGAGCAGCCGCTGCCTCAACCTCATCTCCTCCTGCACCCTGAAAAGGCCCCCCCAACAAGGGGAGTAGAGTTAGTGCTACCAGAGGCGACCTACCCACACCCCCCAGAGCAGACCAGTTCCACCCGCAGCCACAGAGTCCAGATGAAAACGTGACAAGCATGGTTAAGAAGTCCTTCTCCCTCTGCTGACTGAGCTACAACCATCTTCCCCTGTCCAAGGTGCTCCCGGGAGATTCCGCTGGACTCAGACAGAAGCCTCCAGTGGCCCTCGCGCTGCACTGCTGGCTTTCCTGGCTTCCAGCTTGCAGACAGCAGAGTAGGAACTTCTCAGTCTTCCTAATCCCATGAACCAGTACCTTGTAATAAATCTCTCTCTCTACACAGTACCAACACAATGTCGGTATCTGTATACTGGCAGGAGGGGGAGAGGATCTTATTGATCTTGTTTCCATGGAGAACCCTGACTTATAAAACTAAGTTTTAATCCTTTTTAAAAAATTCTGTTTAAAAATTTAAGTTATGTCAACATTGGCTTCCTTGTTGGATGAAGTCTGTGTAACCAGCAGCAGCAGCAGCGGGCAGTGAGGCCACCGTCCCCTCACTCTTGGTCCCCTCTGTGTACTGCCCTCCCCACACTCCTAACTTTGGCGCCCACTTGTCTGTTCTCCTCTGTAACAGGTTTGTCTTTCAAGCGTCTATCAGTGAAATCTTACAGGATGTCACTGTTTTGAAACTGGATTATTCATTCCGTGTTAATGCTCTGAGGTTTTTCCAAGTCGTAACTTGTATCAATAGTTCATTCCTTTTTATTGTGAAGTTGTATTCTGTTGCATGGACATGCCACAGTTTTTTATCCATTACCCTCCTCGACATTTGGGTTCTTTCTAGGTTTTAACCCAGAATTCCTACTTGTGGGTATTTACCCCAGTGAAGCAGAGACTTACATTTACAAAATCATTGTACCCAAATGTTTATAGAAGCTTTATTCATATTCACACAAAACTTTTTTCTTCCACTCATAGGAAGGAAGGATTTGCAAACTACTCATCCAATAGGGGACTAATATCCAGAATACACAACGAACTCAACTCAACAAGAAAAAAAACCCAAATAATTCCAATAAGAAGTGGGTAAATGGCTTGGCACCTATAGCTCAAGCAGCTAAGGCACCAGGCACATATACCAGAGCTGGCGGGTTTAAATCCAGCCTGGGCCTGGCAAACAACGACAACTACAACCAAAAAATAGCTGGGCATTGTGGTGGGCGCCTGTGGTCCCAGCTACTTGGGAGGCAGAAGCAGGAGACTTGCTTGAGCCCAGGAGTTGGAGGTTGCTGTGAGCTGTGATGCCACAGCACTCTCCCCAGGGTGACATAGCGAGACTCTGTCTCAAAAAAAAAAAAAAAAAAAAAAAGTGGGTAAAGGACATGAATAGATTATTTCTCACAAGAGGGCATACCAATGACCAACACGTATATGAGAAAATGCTCAGTGTCACTAACCATCAGAGAAATGTAAATCAAAAACATAATGAGGTAGTACCTCACACCTGTCAGAACGCCCATTATTAAAAAGATAAACAAATGTTGGCAAAGATTGTGGTGAAAAGGAAACTCTTATACACTGCTGGGAGGAATGTAAACTAGGACAGCCACTACGAAAAACAGTAGGGAGAACTCTCAAAAAACTAGAAAGTATTTCAAACACTAAAAATGGAATTACCATTCCATCCAGCAATCCCACCACTAGGGAGCTACCCAGAGTAAAAGAAATCAACACAGCAAAGGGACACCCACACGTATATGTTCACTGCAACACTATTCACAGTGGACAAGCTGTGAAACCAACCTAACTGCCCAACAACAAGTGAATGGATAAAGCCAACGTGGTGTAAACACACAAGGAATACTAGTCAGCCACAAGAACGAAATCCTGTCATTTGCAGCAACGTGGACAGAACTGGAGGTCATTACATTAATGAATAAGCCAGGCATGGGAAGACAAGCAGCCTCTGTTCTCGCTCCCAAGTGGGAGCTGGAGAGGAGAACAGCAGATACCAGAGGCTGGGAAGGGTGTGTGGGGCAAGGATTGAAGAGAAGTGGGTGAAAAGGCACAAACATACAGAAAGAGTCAGTGATAGCAGAGTAGGACGACTACACTTAAAAATGTATCATACTTGGGTGATGGACACCCTCCCTGCCCTGACTCCATCAGTACACATTATATACATGTAACAAATTTCTCATCTACCCTATAAACTTGCACAAATGAAACAATCAGTAATTATTTCACCCTACCATGAAAGAAACAAAAAGAATTCCAGTCAGCCACTATTTCCCAAACGTCCCCACAGCTAGCCCTGTACATACATAATTACGTGTCATCTGCACAGACACCCTAAAAGGTAGGTGTTGTCTTAATCCTTGGTTCAGAGATGTGAGGATGTGAAACGTAAAAAGGTTCCATCCCTTCCCCAGGGGTGCACAGTTTAGAAGATGAGCCTAGACTTAACCTAGGACTCTCTGAAGGCAAAGACAATGAACTTGCTACATCACCCACCTGGGGTGACGAGGGGGATGATAGTACCTCTCAAAGAGCGGGGCAGTCACGGGTGCTGGCAGGGACCACTGAAGTGTGGAACAAGACAGATTCTAAGGGGGAAACTGCGAGAGTGCTCAGCATGGTCCCTGTGAAGTCTAAGGTGGGTTCATGGCACTGCTCTGCTCAGTCTCCCAGTGGCTTCCTGCACCACTCAGAGCAAACACTGAAGTCCTTACCCTGGCTATGAGGCCCAACACTATTCAGCATCTAGCCAGCTGCTACCATGGCCCTCTCCAGATGTGCTGGCCTCCCTGCTCTGCCAGGCACAGACCAAGGCCACTGGCCCTCAGGGTCTGAGCCCCTTCAGCCACAAGGAGCCAACCCCAGACAGCTGCAGTGCTCACCCCTTCACTGTGTTCAGGTCTCTGTTCAAATGTCATCTTTTCAGAGAGGACTTCCCTGACCTACCCTAGATAAAAAATAGCAGCCTGCTCCCCGAGCCCTCTCTCCCTCACCTTCCTGGTTTTTCTCCATGCATTTTATGTCCCCCGACCTATGATGGGTAGTGTTCACTTCTGTCCCCACACACTAAGGCACAGGCTCGTGCCTCATTCCACCCTTGCAGTCTGGCGCCTGGAGGCGTGGTATGGCCATCGGCGGACGGGCGAATCAGGGCCGTACCTGCTCAGCTTCTTGCGGGTGCTGCAGACCTCCTTGAGCAGCTGCTGGCTGTGTCTCTCCTTCCCACTGACTTCCTTCTGCAGCCTCTCGTTTTCCTCCTTCACACTGGCACATTCCCGCTGAAGATGCTCGAGGCTCGCAGTCTTCCTGGAGAGGGACTCCCGTAATTTTTCATTCTCCTTCTGTTTATCTGCAAACACACAAAAAAAGCGCCACTGAGAAGGGACACCATTCATTTTTTCCAACCTTATTACGTAAATACAGCACTTCAGCTCAAGCAATCCAAGAATACAAAAAAGAATGAGATTTAATTTAATCTGGCATTTATGATCTTGGCATTCCAATTATCTTATACATTTTGGTCAGATAAATCTGTCAACAACAGGGCTGCAGATTAAACGTCACCAGGAGAAAATGGGCCTGTTTAATTTTCTATTAAATAATGGGCCATGCAAGCCCAGTGACTTTGCCTTCACAGAGCAAACTGGTAGAAACTATAGACACAGGCAGGAAACGGGGTTCAAAACTCAGGCAGTGGGTGCTGGGAAGTCCACAAGCTTCCTCCTTCCTCACACCTCCCAGCAGGAGGCCAGCAGGGCTGCAGATGGCACCCGGGGCTCATTCACTCCTCGGGCCATGAGGACATCACCTCTCCTGAGGAACAAAACACACCCTGGCACAAGGAATGACACGGTCGAGAGCAGGTGCTGGAGGCACGTGGCTGTGTTTCAAGTGCAGCTTTCTCAGTTTACCAACCTCATAATCCTGAGTGTGGATCTTCACGGCTCTGTGCCTCAGTTTCCCCACACTGCACAGCTGGGGCTCTGAGCACGCCATGAGGACAGGCTGCCAGCAGTGCTGGATGGTTGAGAGCTACCATGTACCAGCACCAACTGTGTGGGCTTCACCTTGACACCTTCCCATGTATCATCTTATCTAATCTTCAGAACAAACTTCCCAGGCAGGTTCTGTTATTCTCACATTTTCCACATGGGAAACTAAGGACTGATGAGGTTATGATTTCCCAAAGGTCAGGCAGCCGATTAGTGGCAGAGCCAGGATGCAGACTCGGGTTTCCCAGCTCCACTCTTAGCCCATAACACAACCATCCTAAGCAAGTGCTCACCTCCCCACTCAGACTCCAGCCACGCCAAGCTGCATATGATCCCTCCCCTCTAACCTCTAGGCCTTTGTCTGCCCTCTTCTTTCTGTTTAAAAGGCCCTGGCTCCTCTAAACCTTAGTCACCTTGACTAATCCCTCCCGGTCCTTTTAGACTCAGCTCTTAAAGACTAGCTTTTCCTGGTCAGGATGCCTTTATTGTGGCTAACGCTCACGCCTGGCCAGCCATGGGCAGTCTGGCTGCCTCTCCCCTCAGACCATGAGCCCCCAAGGGAAAGGACCAGGCCTCACTCATTTCTGGATCAGAGTCTCCATAGGCCCTGATGTGGAACAGGATACAGGAAGTGTTCACTGAATGAATGAACAACCTGCAGAAGGCCCAATTTCATCTCTTACGCTGAAATCGGCATCAGTATTCTCTAGGAAATGTGGGATAAGCTAACCCAAGTTTCAGCTCCACACCTTCCAGTGCTGTGAGCACGGACTGGGCAATTCCCTAGACCTTGGTTTCTTACCTATAAAACATTGCTAATGATACCTCATTGCAGAATTGTTTTAAGCATTAAAAGATAATGTAAGTAAAAGCTCTTTGGGAGCTAAGCTCCAAATACAAGGAATTAAGGGACGAGATCTTCATAAGAAATACTGGATAAACTTTGCTGAGAGCAGAGATCTCCGGCTCAGATCTGGGCAGTAATATGTTGTACCGGATAATGAGTGAAAAGTCGACAAAGTAACATCCCCTGAGTGCCTATCAGAGTGCCGAGAGCTTTACCTGTTTAATTGTTACAACTGCCCTAGAGGCTCCTTCCCGCTCTGGTTTTAGTTTCCTCAGCTGTACAGCAGGCACACCTCCCAGGGTCGGCTGTGACAACTACATGGTGTAGAGCTGTCACAAAGCTGCAGGACCTAGGCTGGCCAGACTCCAACACCTACATTCTTCCCATGATACAGACACTTTGGGGTTCCAGGCTGCAGTCACACCTTTGATTCTTACCTCTGGATCCCTTAACGAGCATTATATTCAGGGCCTGGTTTTGCTTTCTCAGGAAATGAATTTCGGATGTTAGAGAGTTATGCAGCTCTGAACCAGATGCAAAAATGTTTGTAGGACCTATAAAAACACACATAAAGAGTGATTTATAAATAGTCTCCAGATGAGTATGGTTGGAACTTTCCAGAAAACAATTTTAAACAATGAGTTAACACAACATGCAATGAAAATGTGAACTACGTAAGATATAACCAGAGCCAGAAGGAAATGAGAGTGAGCTTGAAAGAGGGGCAAGAGAGGCGCCCTCACTTCTTCCCTGTCCTGAGGGTGAGCAAAGCAGGGGCCCTGGACCAGGAGCAGGTGAGTGACAGTCTTAACCTTCACAGATGTCCCCCCTGAGGTCAAACCTCATGTAGCTAGCCAGCTGCTGGGCTCCTCCACTGAAGCTGCTCAGTCCAAAGCTGAACTCACCCTTCTGCCCCAGAAGAAAGCATCAGCACACCCCAACCCAAGCCAAAAACCTGGGCACTAACCTACACCCCTCTCCTCCCATTCCCCAGTCATAAGCGCTGACTCCTCCAAATCACCTCAGACACTAGTCCACTCTTTTCCGTCCCTACAGTTCAGGCCTGACCACCTTGCTCGAAGTTTGCCTCCCTCCCCTTCTGCAAACAGGGTTATTATCTTACACACAGTACATTCATGTTATTCTCTGCTCAAATAACATCTGGTGCCTCCCTCATGGTGAAAGACAAACAAAACAGTCTAACTGCTCAGTCCAGAGCCCAAGGGTCTCCCTTGTCTGCTCCAATCTCAATGCAAGCCCTCTACTACCTCTCCCCTCTAGGCCACCGAGCCCTTAAGGCAGTCCAAATGGATCACACCTGTGTTCCCAAACACCTCCCCGACATTGCAGAAGAGGTATCCCTTTGCCTAGAATGCCCACTACTCTTTACCTTTCAAAGCACACTTTCAACTCTAGCTCAAATTCACTGCCTTTAAGTGCATCCCTGAAAGATCAGGGTCTAGAGCTCCAGACTGGCTGGAAGTCATATCCTCAACTACAAATACTTCACCATGCTCTCGTCTGTCCCTGAAATCCTGACCCTTCCTTTAAATCCAGCTCAGACAACACCTCTTGCCGGATACCTCCCTTGACACTCCACTTCAACATTCCTCACCCTCTGACGTCTGTACCACCGACACTGTTCATGTCCCCAGTTACCCTCAGGACAGTGCCCACTGTGTGCAAGCTGCCCTCTGCACTGGCAGGCAAGTTCTTCCCCTTCTCTTCCTCACACTCACTAAGTCCACTTACTATAGCACAGAGGCAAATTCCTTGCTTTCCCCAGCAGCCTTCCCCAAGGACATAAGCAACGTGCCACTTCTGGCCAATGGGACCTGAAGGGTAGTCTGCTGGGGGCTGCTGGGAAAGATTTTCTCTGGATAAAAAGATAAGGACAGAGAGAAGCCTCCCCCTCTCCTTTCCCATGCGTTGGACACTGTCCTGAGAGGACGGCATGCTTGCAGTGACTGCAGTCATCCCAGACACTAACCCCAAACTCTGCAATCAGTAAGCCTTAACACATGCCGTGGAACTACCTGCCTCGGATTTCTTATCACGTAAGAAAACATAAACCCGCTGTTAACATCAATTTTTTCTTATACTCTGTTATCTGCAGCTGAAAGCATCCTGGCAGAGACCCTGATTTGAATATTACAAGGGAGGTAGGACATTAGTTCTCCAGATGTTTCCACTGGGCAGCATCTCATTCTCACGTTTGTGACTCACTTATCACAGTGTCGTGTAATTGTTTTCATTCACACGTCTCTCCCCTAAGAACTCTGGCATCTTCTCAGAAACACCTGGGTTTCAACCATGACTCTGGCTTCTTTTTTCTTTTTTCTAGAGACAAAGTCTCACTCTATCATCCTTGGTAGAGTACCGTGGCATCACAGCTCACAGCAACCTCCAACTCCTGGCCTTAGGTAATTCTCCTGCCTCAGCCTCCTGAGTAGCTGGGACTACAGGTGCCTGCCACAAGGCCAGCTATTTTTTTGTTGCTGGAGCCAGGTTTGAACTCGCCATCCTTGGTATATGGGACTGGCGCCCTACGCAGTGAGCCACAGGCGCCACCCATGACTCTGGCTTCTTAAGAGCTGCTTGACCTCAGGTGAGTCACATCTTTCCTAAGTCTCCAGTAGCTCAATAAAAATCACTGATGTTGTAGCTGCTATCACCATCCATATTGACATCACCATGGATGACAGGCTGGCACAAAACTAGTACTGAGGAGTAATCTGAGGGGGCAGGGATAATTCTACAGCGGGGTCTACAATGACCACAGCGAAGGTTACAGCTTTGAAGGCAGGATTTCATTCAAAGAAATAATTCGGCTGAAGAACAGTTCCTAACACAGCCTAAACCTAACCTGAGGAGCGAGGTCCACCCCTGACGCTGATGGACCAGTCTTCCCTCCGAATGTCGACACCACAAGCTCGTACAACTGGGGGCAAGCGAGAAGCTCTAACACCCGAGATGACGGTTTTAAACAATATTCTGCCTCAATATTATGAGGAGCCATGCCGCTTTCAAGCCTGCTCCCAAGGTGAACATTTCACAGCAGGAGAAGGTGGGGCCCCTTTTATTTCTTTGTCTTTTCAGACATTGTGACAACATGGTGAGAACAGCGTGTCTTTCCACCAGTGTAAATACTTTATGAATGCCTTTTTGTAAACCTCCCCGTCAGAGTGAATTACTCTCCAGAGCAACTGCCTGCTCCATTGTAGCTGGTGGCCATTTGAGCCCCCAAATAATTCTATAATTGGATTTGCCAGGGAAAATGTAAAACAGAATGAATCTAATTCAGGCATTACCAAGAGAGAATGTGAAGGGCCCAGGCGTGTATTTCTTTTCCTGTGTTTGATAAGACTAATAACTCAGATTAATCAATTTCTCTGAGGGTGAGAGGGGAGGATGCGGGATGAGGCTGGAGTGAGTGAGAGGGACGGGGAGGGGGGAGGGCATGTAAGGGAACCATTCTGTTTACCTTGCAAACTGCAGCACATACATATTGGAAAGATGTCCTTCTAGGCTGGTGACTATGACAGGTTAGAACGGAATGAGGACAGGACAAGGGACTAAGGACTCATCCAGACTATCTTTCTAGAACTCAGTTCTCTCATCTCTAAAGATGAGAATGAAATTAGGGTCTCTGCCCATTGAAAAGCCTTGAGAGGTTAAACGAATAATGTTACATGAAATTAAATAGTAAAATAAAACTGATGATGATGTTGAAAGCAACATTTATACTGAGACACTAAGCAAGGCCCTATTCATAACACTGCCTCATTTAATATCCCAACAACCCTGTTTTATAAAATAATTAAGCCTGGCAGGGCCAAGTGTGGTGGCTCACGCCTATAATCCCAGCACTCTGGGAGGCCGAGGCAGGTGGATTGCCTGGGCTTACAAGTTTAAAAGCAGCCCGAGCAAGAGCGAGATCTCTTAAAATAGCCGAGCATTGTGGCAGGTGCCTATAGTCCCAGCTACTCAGGAGGCTGAGGCAACTGAATCACTTGAGCCCCGGAGTTTGAGGTTGCTGTGAGCTATGATGCCACAGCACTCTACCAAGGATGACAAGTGGGACTCTGTCTCAAAAGAAATAAAAAGACTGGCAGAGATGGAGTGAAGTGCAGGGATCCACACCCAGCTCAGTCTAACTCCCAAACTCAGCCTTTTCCAAGTGCACGAAGATGCTCTCAAGGTACATTCTTCATGGAATGAGGACACCATCTCTGGAGCAATAAGGAAAGATGTCCGAGAGACACTGAGCAATGAAAGACGGGGCAGGATAGTGGACACACAGCGTGCTACCTTTTGGGTGAGGGGGAGAATGAGAATATATACTTGTATTTGCATATTTTTTTAAAAAAGCACTGAAAGGATACAAATGAAAACCAACAAATGTAAGAAAGAGGGGTCAGGAGCACAGGGTTAATGGGTAAAGAATGAAGGTTTTAATTTTTTTTTTTTTTTTTGAGACAGAGCCTCAAGCTGTCCCCCTGGGTAGAGTGCCATGGCACCACAGCTCACAGCAACCTCCAACTCCTGGGCTCAAGCGAGTCTCCTGCCTCAGCCTCCCAAGTAGCTGGGACCACAGGTGCCCGCCACAACGCCTGGCTATTTTTTTTGGTTGCAGCCGTCATTGTTGTTTGGCAGCCCGGGCTGGATTCGAACCCACCACCTTAGGTGTATGTGGCTGGCGCCTTAGCCACTTGAGCCACAGGCGCCAAGCCAAAATTTCACTCTTTTTTTTTTTTTTCTGTTACCCTGGGTTGAGTGCTGTGGAGTCATAGCTCACAGCATCCTCCAGCTCTTGGGCTTAGGCAATTCTCTTGCCTCAGCCTCCCGAGTAGCTGGGACTACAGGTGCCCGCCACAACACCCAGCTGTTTTTTGTTGTTGTTGTTGCAGTTTGGCTGGGGCTGGGTTTGAACCTGTCACCCTCGGCATAAGGGGCCAGCACCCTACTCACTGAGCCACAGGTGCTGCCCGAAGGTTTTAATTTTTGAAGCATATAAATATCTTACCTATGGGGGAAAAGATATTTTAAAGTGCTTCATGGAAGATCAGTCTATTCACAGCTAATTGTAGTTATGCAGAAATATTGGTAACCTTTTCACTGGCATGTGAGCTTTACTAGAATGCTAAAATGCCGGTATTTTTATAATCCATTATTGATGTAAAGACAAAATACTGCTTTGTTTTATTTCAAAGTATCCATTTTTCGAGAGCTTCCAAAGTCAAATGAGGTACCAACCACAATTCAGAAAGCCAGAGGCTGGCAGGCTTCTCCGATGAGGGAGAAACTAACACATATCAAGCACCTGCTTTGTACACAGACTGCTTATTCAGGCAAAGGCATCACAGTAAAGCCGCCCCAGGCTCACGCCGCCCTGTGGGCACGTCCTTCCTTACCTTGACCAGCCTCAGCTCCTTGCCGTTCCAGCTGTTTCCGGAGCTTCTCATTTGTTTTAATCGATTCTTCTAAACGTTTTCTCAAAGTTCGAATTTCCTGTATATGTTCCATTATTAAGTCTACAAGAGGGAAGGGCATTTTTAAGTCAAAGTCTGAAGCCCCCAACAAACTGAATAATTTATAAATTATGCAAGGATCTTGAAATTCTGAACAGTATTGCATGTTATTAGCAATGGGCAACTCTTTCCTTGGCATGGGGAGGCTGAGTTTCTCAAGACCACAGACACACTTCTGTACGATTTTCTGCAGTCCTCCATGCCTCCATGGAAAAACGCTAATGTAGCCCTTTATTCTTCTAAATATAAAATATTAATTTAAAATCTTCCTTATGGTGAAACAGATCACTTTCAAGTCTGCTTGATTAGCCTGAGAGTTGATTAAACTTCCTTCACGATAAATCCAGTTATTTTCATCATTTTTTTTGCAAAAGAAAAAGTTATCTATTTATTACTTAGTAATTTAAGACCAAAAATAAAGTAAAACAATGCTGCTGAGAATGGAAATAAGAAGGATAATCTCAAGATACATCCTGTCAGTGTGAGTATAAACGCAAATGACGTTTAAAGGATACTTTTAACACTAGACTTAGAAAAGTTCTTTCCCAATGTCTTTTACCAAATAATTCTCCTTCTGGGACTGTATTTAAAGAGATCACCAGAGATACTGACAAGCATTTGCCAGAATGCAGGAAAACATTCATCTTAGTATTGTATGAAACAGCAAAAACTGAACTCACTCAAATTGCTAAATAAACTGCAGTACATCCATTATAATGTAGGAATATATAGCTGTTAAAAATGTTATGAAGACTATATAATATCATGGAAAGATTATCATGTTGTTAAGTTTTAAAATAGACACAAAGTTAAATATTCAACGTAATCCCAATTTGTAGGGGAAAAACTCAAATTTTTCCTACATTCTTGCTTAACAACCAGCACGGAAGACTTCACTGACCAAATGTCACAGGGGGTTGTTCCCCCTACACACGCAGCGAGCACTCCACGTGCAGTCAGTCCCTCCAGGTGTCCTCAAACGCAGTTCAGTTCTGCACCACCGACCTGGAGAGTGTCAGATCCACAGGGAGGTCTCAGCCCCATGAGACTGCCCCCAACTTGAGATGCCAGTGGAAGCCCCAGGTTGTTTTATCTGTGCTCTGACTATAGGTTGGGTTCCCAGGACACTCTCCTTGAGTTCAACTAATGTGCTAGAGTGGGTCACAGAACTCAAGAAAACACTTGCTTATGTCGGCTAGTTTATTTTAATGGATATTATGCAGGACAATGATGAACACCAGATGAAGAGATGGATAGAGCAAAGTATGTAGGAAGGGATGTGGAGCTTTAGTCCCTCTCTAGGGCTGCCACCCTCCAGGAATCTTCCAGCATTAGGCTATCCAGAAACTCCCTAAACCTAGTCCTTGTAATTTTCTATGGAAGCTACACTATGCAGGCATGTTTGATTACATCATTGGCCACTGGTGATCAACTTAATCTTCAACCACTATCCTCTCCCCAGAGAGAGAGGTGTGTGTGTATGTCAGAGGGAACCTGAAAGTCCCAAACCTATAATCATATGGTTGACTCCCTTGGTAACCCACTCCCACCCAGAGACACCCAGGAGTCCCCAGCCATCAGTCAACTCAACAGCACACAAAAGATGCCTGTCGCTTCAGAGATTGAGAGGATTTTAGGAATTGTATGCCAAGAACAAATATGTATTTCACTCTATCACATAACTCTATTTAAAAATTTGTACAGATAGGAAAGACACAAATATACAAAAGAAGGAAATACTTTGAAATATTAATAGCAGTTGCCTTTGGGTGGCAGATGAAATTTTAAATTTCCCCAATTTTCTACAATGAACATACATTTTTTTTCAGCCTTTGCCACATTTCACTTTAACAAAGAAAGAAGGAACCACAATTCCAATCTAGAGGCAGGTTTCTAGAGTCACTGTTTAAAGTATAATCACATTAAGTATCCAAAAGCAAAACTAATGTCTTTAATTCATCAATTAGGGGATACTCAGTATGTCTTAGTAACGTTTGTCTTAAAACATTACACTAATGTTATGACCCAGTTTTAATTCCTCCAAAATTACTTTCATTTAAAAGTAGCACAGTGTTACAGATCTTTTCCTAATTAAATAGTAATTTTGCCATGAATTTGAATGTTTATGAGATAACTTAATTCCCAGACCTTCAGCTCTCTCCTATTAATGCCAAAAGTGTGGCGAGTAATTTGGTGGAATGTCTGCAGCTCTCACTACAGTGCAGCTCTGAAGGGCCCCGCCTGCAATCAACTCCCAGCACCGCGCAGCACCGTACCTCCCTGTTCCTGTCTGCAGCCCTGCAACTCCTCTTCCAGAGGCCTGTGGGTCAGGGTCAGTCAGGAACTTATCTGTTGTGACTGCAGCCTTCCTCACCGGCCTTCTAAGCCACGCACTGCAGGTTTGAGGGACTAAATGCTCCGTAGCCACCACGATGACCAGTTTCCACTGGGTCTTTGGCCAGGAGCTGGAATCATCACTTGGGTATATGGAAACATTCCCAGTTGAATTGGACACCACTTATTAATTAATTATGCAGCCATGCCGAGGAGAAGGAAATACTATACTAGCCTTTACAAAATGAAAGAAAAATATCTGTCTCTTACCATAATACCCTCCTAACAAATCCTAACTCTTTAAAGCCATAAATCCTATAAGAAGCAACCACCCCCTAAAATGTGTTATTTTTTTTTCCCTAGTAGTTCCAATGTATAGAGCCTACGCTGAGAAAATGCCCCCAGATAAGAAAAAGGCTTCATGTTCAAAGATATTCCCTGCAGCATTGTGTACAATTGTGAGATATGGAAATGACTCAAATGTTCTGCAACAGGGGACCACAAGGAAAATGGCAGTTCAGTCATTCAATGGACTATTCTAAAGTCACTAAAAATGATGTTTGTAACATGTCAGGAAGCTCATCATATAATGTTAAAAGAGAAAAGGAAAAACACTAAGTTATCTCTCTACACAGATTATAAATATGACAAAAGAAAAACCAGATACAGAGAACAAAAGACAGAAGAGAAACAAACCAAGAAAGATGGCAGTGGGGGTATCAGGGTGGCTCCAGAGAGCACTGTCCTCGTTCAGACAATCCACTCAGAGGACATGATAAGCCCAAGGTCATGGGTCCCCAAGGAATATGCAAAAGATGCCTAAAGGCTTCTACATTAGAACTAAAACAAGGCTGGGGTGGCAGCCAGGGTGAAGGGCAGAACAGAGGAGCAGGCAGGGGGAGCAGAGGAATAAGAACAGGGATCTCAGACATCCCACTGAAACCACTCGGCTGCTGCACTTTAACTGCTGACCTTCTGTTCCTCGAACCCTCACTCAAGTCTGCACAAAGCCCTCATGGGAGTGGTCTCAGAAAGGGACTGAGTTTCAATGCAGGAGGTGGTGCTAGAGACAGGGAAACAACTTGTGGTCTGATCTAAATTAGGCAGAATGTAGAGCCATAAATGACTAAAAAAAATCAAGTACTCAGAAACCCACAAAAATTGTAGAGGGACACGGCCAGAAATCCAAAGAAACCAGGTCCAGGTGACTGGCTGCAGGAGAACCCCAGCTGATACCTGAGTAACCCTGAGAGTGTGCACTAGGTATGTTTTCAAAGTGTGCTCTTCTGGGCCTGAGTGTCCTAGAGAAGCCTCAGAGGCCACCAAGGGGACAAAGACTCCACTCCTATCTCTTTTACATATTGCATGGGGTTGTTAAAACAAGATTTCAAAAAATTTAAAACAATGATCTATGGGATCAAATACCAACAAAGAGCTTTTAACAAGGAGATGCCAGTATCTTTCTATAAATAAAGTTTTATTGGAAGATGGCCAGGCCCATTCATTTCATCATCTATGGCTGCTTCTGTGCTACAACAGCTGAGTTGAGGAATTGCAATGAAGAACATTTACCCTATAAAGCCTGAAATATTTACGATCTATCCCTTAATAGGAAAACTTGGCTAATACCTAGTCTATTTGGTCTGGTCTACATAATCCCTTGAACCTTTAAAATATATTGAATTATAAACACTAAGCCCTATACGTTACCCCAACAGGAGGAAGCAAGAGTGTACTCAGGTGAAGGGGAGATCAGACTCCTGGAGACTGATTCTGACAATTCAGTCCATGGTCAGAGGCAGAACAAAGGTGTTATGGACTAAATGTGTCTCCAAAACGCATATGTTAAAGCCCCAGTGATGGTATGGGAAGTAGGGTCTTTGGCAGGAGATTAGGTCATGAAGGTAGAGCCCTCCTGCTCTCTTGTCCTCCTTCCTCCGTGTGAGGACACAATGAGACAATGGCAGTCTGCAGCTGAGAAGAGGGCCCTCACCAGAGCCTAACCTTGCTGGCTGGTACTCTGATCTTAAACTTCCCGGCCTCCAACACTGTAAGAAACACATATCTGCTATTTATATCCCACCCGTTTCTATGGCACTCTGTGACAGCAGCCTGATGGACTACGAAAGACCCGAGGCCTGACCCAGTGGGCCAAGGGTCGCACTATAGGGAAACATAGCAGATTTATAAAACCACAAATTTGGTACTTATACAAAAATATCAAAATGGGGGTTGGGTACTCTTGGGCATCTGTACAACTCAAAGCATAAGGCTCTCGCTCAGGATGAGTCTGAAAGAAACAACAGGAAATTTACCTAACTGGGACTGCCACGAAAACCCCAGTGACACCCAGCCTGCGGGAAACACAAGTCATCTATTAAGTGGTCATTTTTAAAGTAAAAATAACTTTTCCAAATCACCAACACTTTCAACAGCCATAGCCTTCTCCAAGAGTAAGCAATACTCTGAGTGGCCAGCTCTGATACTAATGAGATCTCTTTTCATCAGAGAAATATGCACTGTCACCACACTCTGCTTCCCAAGGCAAGAGGGCAAATTATTGCTTAAATCGGGCCATGTGTGAAACGCTTACTAAAGCTTAAAGCTCAGCTTACCTTGAGAAAAATTGTTCACCACAGCAGAAGTCTTCTCAGTCTCACTGTCTTGCTTCTGGTCTCGTGAGAGGAAGGACTTTTCAGATATTTCACAGTCAGACAATGCATGAGAGGCTGAAGGCTCGGGAGATTCAGGTAGAATATGTTGATAGGATGAGCGGTCTTCCTCGATCCTTAAGCTTTGGGATTGGAAGATAAATCATTTCCCATGCTAAACCCCACATTTGGACCGTGACCTAAGAACATTTACAATTACTTTGCCCTTTATCCAAATGCCTGCAACTTCAGTAAGCCCTGTGTTTCTCTACAGCATTAGCAGTGACATTCTAAAAACAAAAAGGGTTTGGGCTTGAGTCTGGAGCCAGCAAATGAGAAGTGGGGACTATGCCTGTCCCACAGTCTGGCTTATAGAGGAAGACCTCAAGAGAGGGCCTGTATCCATGGCAGCTGTTTACCAGATGCCCCCCCCCGCCAGGCATGTGAGACCTTAGTCAGGCCTCACAAAACCTGATGAGGTGGGATCACCATCCTCGTTTACAACTACGGAGACTGAAGCGCATCATAAATTAGTTCTTGCTTATAAGTGACACAGGTCAGATTTGAACCAGGCCTCTGTGGATTCATGGCCTCAGGCGAATGTGGGAGCTCAGTCCAAAATCATGAGGGGGCCTTATAGCTTTAAAAATTCTAAAACCCTTGTGGTCTCCAAACAAGTCCCAATATCATCACTCTGGTTATTAACCTGTATTTCCCAAGGACCACCTAAGCCATGAAAAAATCAAAACCAAAAACAATGTGAATGCTGTAAAACCCACATGCATCTCCATTATAGATAAGCTCCTTAATTTGAGCTCTTTTTTCCTCCCACTTTTCCCATTACTTCCTGTCAGTGACCACAGTCTCATTATTCACATTATTCATGAGCTCAGACAAGAGCAAAGGACTCCAAAGCTGCAACGCATTCATTAACAGGTAAACACCAGATGCAACTTCACCCAGACAGCGTGATGGATGCGGGGCTTGCTGCCGGCTTGCGAGAGTACAGAATGAGCCAAGGGCACCCGTTTAATTAGCTCAGGAGTGACCCATGTGAGTGCTAAGCCTACAGCTGGAAAAGGCAGAACAGAAGGAATAGAAACAAGTCTGTCGGAAATAGGAAGGGGTGACACACTGGTTGAGGAGGGCTGTAGGAGGTTCCCTGCCTCCCTCCAACCCATTCTCTAAGCACCACAGAAGTCTTCCAAATGGCAAACCTGATCATGTCTAGTCCTAACTTACCAACTCTTTCTCCCCTCTTCCTATAGAACAGAGGTCGGACTTTTAACACAGCAACTGAGGACCAGCCCAATGGGGTCCAGCTTGCCTCTCCAGCCTTTATCCTCTTTGTATCACCCAATCTGTTCAAAGAGGCTATGTCTCACCCGTCCCAGGCACAGACACTGTCCCAAGATACACACACACACACACACACACACACACACACACACATACCCACCAGCCCTTTGGGCTTTCACCCTTTGGATCAGCTAAGAATGGCCCACCATGGGAAGGTTTCCTTGCCCTCTCCGCTACCAGCCAGTAGGATCAATTATTACAAGGATGGAAATGGAGAGTTGAATTGGGAAGTATCTTTGACAATATTGCAGTGAGAAAGGAATTTATGGAAGCCCTGATTTAAATGTCCTTCAGTGACTGTGATATCTCCCTGCCTGCTCACTCTAATGATGCTGGTGGCCTCTGCAATGCCAATAGAATCTCAAATTCTGCACCCTAGACTGGTCTCTATTTCTTTGCTTTACCCCCAGAATCCCAAAGGGGACATCCCTAAAGAGCAGGAAAGTACCAGCAGCATTAAAAGCATTCAGAGTCTATAACCAGTGAACAGAGGAGGGCAAAACTTTGGCGTCTTCAGTTGGCTACAGAGGTGAGCTAAGAACACATACAACTCATTTATTCCATGAACATTTTCTGACGTCCAACTACATGCCTGACACTTGGAGATGGAACAGACACAGAGATATGCAAGATAACTCTGCCCCTCAAAAACAACACGGGACAACAGAAAGAGCACAGGCACTAAAGCAGTGTTCTCAACCTTCCTAATGCTGCAACCCCGTAATAAAGTTCCTGTGGGTCATGACCCACAGATTGTGAACCGCTGTGTTACAGCATGACATGTTGGTGTTCAAATCCCTGCCTCTAATAGCAAGCAGGCAATTCTGGCCCACAGTCTCCTCATCCTAAAATGGTTACTTCTAATCTTACAGGGTGAGGAGTAATAAATGTGAGATGCCCAGGGCAGCTGCTGGCACACACCAATACCCACTAATGCTAGCTAGCTCCTTCACTCTTTTGAGGAATTCTGGGAACAGAAAGATAATGCAAAAAGTATTACAACAGCACGTGGTAAGTGCTGTAATGTCATTATTCTTGCTAAAGCAAGAGTTAACTGGTCCTGAGATGAGGTGGAGTTGCAGTGTATGGGGAGAACCATTTGAACTGACTCTGAAGAAGATTTTCAGACTATTACAGGAAAAGGCAGAGTGTGCAGCTTCCGTACAGAAGAAGAATACCAAGTCAACAGCCACATGATGGGGCAAGAAAGTGAGTCCGACTGAGAAAGGCCTCAAAGGCCTCAAAGGACTCCAGGTCAAGGAGTCTGGAATGTATCCTGCAGGTTATCTGGGGGCCTAGAGAAGGAACGTGTCATCCGGTTCAAATCCTGATGAAAGTGAGACGAGTGAACGACAACTGCAGGACGCACAACACGGATTCCTGGTTCTGCACAGCCACCATCAGTTCCAAAGATGGTTATGCTGTATTTATAAGAAGCAGGAAACTAACAAAATGGGAGGGAGCCAAAATACCTACAAAGCTGACAAGCAAACTGAACCGAGACAGTCCCAGAAAGTTTTCTTAACAAATGCTAGGTACTCACCTCTCCATCAGTTCATTCTGGGTGCTCATTTCTACTCCACCTGATTTTCCTGGAAGCAGAAATAATATCAAAAAAGAATGAAAAAAATTTCTGAGTGTTCCCTAATAATTTCTTATTCATACATTTGCAGAGGCACTCTTCCATTTGCTTAAACACTCTTTATAACCGCCCCAGATATTTAAAGTAGGAAAAAATACAATTCCGACTATAGACTCCTCCTTTATTGCTGCACGGACACTAGTTCTAGGTGACAGCACTGAATCTACAAGGCAATTACAAAGGCATTGCTGGTGCAGGTTCTTTTTCCTTCTCTAAAACCCTGATGATAACAGAATATATGCTCATTATAGGAAACGGGCAACAGAATAAAAAAAGATCAGTCTCTTCCTAGGCCCCCGGCAGACATGTTACCGGATTTCCTTCCATTCTTTTCCTCATGCACTTTGGCACAGATGATACTGTACCGTGACTTAATTTTTTTCACTTAGTACTTCATTGTAAGCATTTCTCTTACCAACTTTGCGTTAGAAACATTTTTAATACCTGCACTAATATTCCGGGTAGGCATGCCTGTACCACAGTTTTTCCCAGTTCCCTATTTGACACTTAGGTCATTTCCAAATTGTTACTTTTATAAATAAATGAAATAAAACATCTTTGTGTATACCGCTTCCTCTGCAGTTAAATGATGTCCTTAGGAAGACTCTCAGAAGTTACTAGGGAAGGGAGTACATGAGTGCAGGTGAAAAAGCCACTGTCAACAGCAGGAAAAAGACGAAAAGAAACGACAAAAGGAAACAAAATAAAGCTCAGAACGTAGCTGGGCCAAAGATGCTCAGCCTCTTCCCGCATGCCATCATTTGCTGCGTGAAAGGAAGCACAGCCCAGATTTCAAAGAGACTAACAACTTTATTTTAAAAATACTTCAGAACCCTGGAAATTACAGACTGGGATGTGCTCTTTGAAGAAACTGACGCGTGGCTAAAGAAAAAAACAAACTCTTCCTTAGCTGTGCTTGGAAAACGAGACTATAATTAAACTGCACCCACACGTACAATTTTCAAAACTACTCTTAAGACAGAAAGTTCTCAAACACCACGGCGTAGAGGAAAAGATCACCAGAGCCTTGCACATGTGCGTCTAGCAGATTCTGCCTACGTACTCACAAGGCCGGCTGGCATGGCGTCCACACTCTCTCACCCCGCCAAGCTGGCCACCTGGGCACCAAGTGTCAGTGCGACATGCCAGGTGCCACTGCAGGGGCCTGAGTGACCCGGTGCCAGGCCCGAGCATGGCCCTTTAATACCCACTGTCCCCACGACAATCCCACAAGCACTGTGTTAGTATCGCCATTTTACAGCATAGAAGTGGAAATCGAGGTTTAATTGTTGAGCAAGAGAGATGGCGCTCTCCTGATAGCTAAATCTCAAATCTATGCCTTGATCCTCTTGGTTACAAGCTGGCCAAAAATGGTGTGCTATTCTGGATTCTTGAAAGGGAGGTAGAGGCTGACGGGCCTCTCATAGTGGGTGCTCTCGAGGTCTCTGACTTTCTGTCCTCGACGTTCTTCTGCAAGGGGGGACAATCCACATGTGACGGGGTCAGATCTCAAGACCGTGAGTGGAAGCCACAGTGCGTAGGACCATCCCAGACAGGCCAGATGACTGTGGGCGACAAGCGCAGCTCTCAGCACTTTCCACCTCTCGCCTATGCTCGGGCAACTTACCAACAGTCAGCTGATGGTGAGACCTGGACCCTACAGACCCTGAGGGTGGGCCATCTGCTCCAGCCAGCCTTCCAGAGAGCTGAAGACTACACAGGCACTGGCCAGGCAGATAGTAATGGATATTCTGCTTCTCAGTCACATTGTGCTTTAGGAGAGTGTCTCCCTCAGAAGCATCACAGGGCGGGCACTCTTGGTTTAGGGCAGGCTTTCAGCATCGCAGGTCTCCCAACCATGAACTCTCCTGCATTCCTAACAAAATCCATACCATGGAAGAAGTGCCCTGATGCCACCAGCAGCGTGGGTTTCCCCTTCTTCAAATAAGAGACCCTTCGGGGAGCTCACAATAACTCAACAACAATCATATTGCACCCATCTCCCATCTCAACAGAGTTCTTTAAAACCAAATGACAAATGGTTATTGCAGGATTCAGAGGGAGATCATAACAACTGATGCACTGAGTTTCTTGGTAGAAACTGCCTCTGCACAGGTGACTGGGTACCATCTGTTGGGCTATTTCAAAAGCTTAGGATGCATGTCGTGAAAATGCTGCTCATCTCTCAGGCAAATCTTGTTATTATACCCGAAAGCGGTGCAGTGTGAGGCAGTAGGGACTTCACCTTTTCAAATTAAAGAAACTGGCTCGGCGCCTGTGGCTCAACCGGCTAAGGCGCCAGCCACGTACACCTAAGGTGGCGGGTTCGAATCCCCAGCCCGGACCCGCCAAACAACAATGACGGCTGCAACCAAAAAATAGCCTGGCGTTGTGGCGGGCGCCTGTGGTCCCAGCTATTTGGGAGGCGGAGGCAGGAGACTCGCTTGAGCCCAGGAGTTGGAGGTTGCTGTGAGCTGTAATGCCATGGCACTCTACCCAGGGGGACAGCTTGAGGCTCTGTCTCAAAAAAAAAAAAAAAAAAAAAAACAAATTAAAGAAACTCAAGTTATCCCCCCAACAACTGAACAAGCAAAAAAGGCTATTGTGCAGGCCACACTTCCCACCTGGATGGTGCTACTCTTTAAGAAACCTCTTTCAAAACAATACTGCCTGGCTCAAAAATCTATCAGTCAGATGCCATAGGTCAGTTCAGGTACCACAGCATACATGACCCAAATGTTTCTTCCTTTCCGTAACTTGTGCTGTGAGCAGCATATGAGTGCTCCTCCCAGGTGCCTGCACCAGACATTGAAGACTCATGAGGCCCTCAGGGAGCTCACGTCTGAGTGGGAACAGTGGACTCAGTGACAATCACACCACGGTGCTGTGATAAGGGGCAACGAGGGCACTGCTGGGGTCAGGGGCACCCAGAGGAGACAGCATAACCCAGCCTGGAGTACTGCAAAAAATTCAGAGGAAGTGGCAACGAGGTTACATATTTGGGGCAGGAAAGAACTGCTTTAGAAAGGTAAGAAGCAGTTAAGGGGATCTGGGAAGGGCAGTTCCAGGGATCCTCAGGCGGAGAACCTCCGTTCTACCTGGATCACTGGACTAACTTCAACTTGCATATCCCGTGCTCACTGCTGTCAGCCCTGAGTTCCCACTATTTGCCAAGCAAGATAACCTTTAAATAATCTCACTTAGTCCTCACAAACATCCTGGTGAGGCACGTGCCACTATGGACATCTGACCCTTAAAGGGGAAATGACACGTAAAGATGGGATTTGAATTGAATTCTATCTGACTCCAAAGACCCCGTTCCTTCCAACACAACGCCCTTGGCATGGCCTCCATCACAAGGTCAGTTAAAGGCCAGGTGTGAGCTACAACCAACCAGAAGTCAAAAAAGGAAAGAGGGCAGGCAGTGCCTGTGTGGCTCAGAGAGTAGGGTGCTGGCCCCATATACTGAGGATGGGGGGTTTGAACCCAGCCCCGGCCAAACTGCAAATACAAAAAAAAAAAGGGAAAGAGGTTTTGCCTCTACTTGGAGTGAACAAGGAAACCTTCCTATACCACAGGCAGGATTTCTCCCTCTGTGGGGAGGGAGTAAAAGCTTCACATCAAGGAGGGTGGTTTGAACGGAGTTATAGGAGTGAGGAAACACAAGGCCTGGCGCCCAGGAACTTGTGACCACTGCCCCAACTTGACAGCAGTGTGAGAAGCACAACACACCATAGTTAGAAGGACAGGGTGTGAGAGCCAATTGCCTGGGCCTGAATTGAGACTTAGCTGCCGCTTCGGAGTTGTGTGACCTACTCATTTATTAAATGCGAAAAACAATGGAGAATCGGGCTGCAACACCAGTTTCTTATAGGCTAAGAACAATGGCTGCATATAACAAGAGCTCAACAGAGACCAGCCTTCCTCATTTCCTCATTGCATCTCCTTCATCATCACCACCATCATCATCATTAGAGAGTAGTAGGCTGGAAAAAGCAGACTGTGGAAGGCAATGACTATTTCAGGTTCATCTCTATCAGCCAAGGAGAGCCAAGGCCAGAGATCCCAGCAGCTGTCTTCTGTTCATGTGGTTAACTCCATACACAGAGTGAGCTTCCTGAAGAAAGGAACCGTCCTCTTAGTACCTTTCCCAGAGCCAAACACAGCTTACTCAAAAATACCTGAAGACAAATTATCACCTTCCTCATTGATGCAATTGGTCTTGGAAAGTGCTGTGAGCAAGGATATAGGGGAGAATCTGGCTGCAACACCAGTTCCTGATCTACCAGTTCCTGGCCCTCTTGAGGAGTCTAAAAGCTATAGACCCTCACCCTAGAAAAATGCACATAAGCTAACAGAATCCCCAGTTTAATGAAACTTAGGAAGAGTCCTTACAAGCATTAATAAACCACTAGCATCCTACCAATCAAATATTAAAGAAATAGCAAGGATATGTACAAAGATTCCAATAGTGTTCTTTGTAATTGCCCCACACTGGAAAGAACCTAAATGTCCACCTAATGGGGAATGATTAATAAATTATGGTACATTTATACAAAAGAATGTTCCAGAGCCACTAGAACTTTAAATATATATGAATATTTATTATCTATTACTGAACAAAGGGAGAGGTTGCAAAGAGTCCCACTTCCGTGAAAAACACATAGACATGTAACATTGGCCTCAGCATAGACACTCCGGGGTATTCATGTTTGGGTATGCAAACGATGCCATTTCAAGAGCATTTGCTTATCTGCTATTCCACATTAAGCATGCATAGCTTTGTATTAATAACAAAAAGGCTATTATTTAAATTTTTAAGAACTCATGCTATGCAACTGCCTCAAATATAAAAACTACTTAATAACACACTCACTTCATAATTCAGGAGCCAGACCCCTTACACGGCACCCAGGAAAGACCCACCTGTGTGTTCCACTTTATGCTCTAAGAAAAGGGGCTGCAGAGAGGTTCCTGGGACTTTTAAGCCTATGTTTGTGTTGTCTATTGAGCCTGAAATGCTTCGGCCTCCAGAGCCCACAGGAAACAAGTGGGATCTCCTTGGGTTTGGCAAGATAAATAAAAAATAAATCAAGAGGAGCAGCCGGGTGAGGCGGGGCGGCAGCTGGGCCAGAGGCATTCTCTCCCAGCCTCCCATTTCCTAGGACAGGAAGAAAAGAGGCAGACGAGAAAGGCCTGGGACCTGGAAGATTGAGGTTTATCATGAGGACCCAGTTAGTTTTCCAAAACTAGCTTATTTGGAAAACCTGGGCCAGAAGAAAGCAGGTTTTTATAAAGCTGTGAAAAGTCAAGTGTTCCTAGTCCTCCCAAGTCCTAGGAAATTTGTCTTAGGAAAATCAGTCCACAACAGGTCTAAGCTGTTGGGCCCTTTGGAAAAGACAGGAAAAAGTATTCACCGGTCCCAGGTGAGCCAACTATCCCACGTGCTATTCTGGAATAAACTGAAATATGTGGACTCTCATAAACCATCTGTTTGGTACATACAAAGACTGAGGAACAGAGACCAATCCTGGTTCCACCAAGGCAACAGTGACTTTGAACAACCCCCCTTTGTTAAGGCAAGTTCCTCACCTAAAAAGCACAGGCTGTTCTGAAGATGAAGCCATAACATACAATAGATACTAGGAAATGCTCAGTCCATAAAGCCATGCACCCAGCAGTGAGCAAGCAAGGCTTCCCAGACACTATTTATTTTAACCCTTAACATGACTCTGTGAATTAGGTATTAGAATACTAAGTTTACAGATGAAGAAATTGAGGCAAGGAATTGAGTAAATTTCCCAAGTACACAGCCACAGTGGGAGGCAGAGCTCTAACCGGGCCTGCCTAACACCAGCGACTGACTCTTCACTGCTAGGACCACTGATTTAGATGCATATGGTGGCCATTCTGTGCCTCAGGTTTGTCCTCTGTAAAACTGGGTTCGTAACTCATGCTTCCCAGGTCACTGTGAAATTTAAATTAAATAACACATATGTTACCAAGTGGAATACAAGTAGATCAAACAGTGGAAGGCAGCTTTTGTCCAGAGACCTGATTTGAAATTTCAGCTGTACCACTCATCTCCATAAATAATCACAAATGAGCTACCTCCTTTCCCTGGGTCACACTCTGCACAACTGTTAACCTGGCATTCATTCGCTCTTTTATTCATTCTCTTAAAAAACGTGCTTTGAGTATTTACTATAGTCCAGATACATGTCTCTGTTCTAGCATTATGACACCAACACTAGAGACAAGGTCCCCCACCCTCTAACAGGGAGGGCAGAAGTCAAGTGAATGGACACTAAACACACAACACGGTAATGAGGACAGAGGCAAATGCAGCAGCAAGGGAAGGGGGACGCCAGGCGGGACGGGGGTGCCTTGCTTCTTCACACAGAGTTGGCAAAGAGGGCCCTGCTGAGAAGAGGACATGCGAGAAAAGGCCTAAGAGACCAGGGACACCAGAGAGAAAGAAGAGAGAGCCTGGAGAAGCAGCCTGCCTGGGCACGATGGAAAAGCCACACAGCCAGTAGCTGGGGAAGGGGAAGGCAGGGGGAAGGGGAGCAGGAGACGAGGCCAGAGCAGGGCGGGGTGATGGTATAGGGCTTTTACACTGAGGATTAAGAAAGGCTTTGATTTGAGGGCAGAGAAGAAACATGATATGACTTACATTTTTAAAAGCTTACGGTGATTACTGTGGGGGAAATGCACTGTTCTGGCACCAGGGTAGAAGCCCAGGCCGGGCAAACCGGGCAGTGGCAGCAACAAGGCCATGAGGACTGGTCAAAATGGAAGACCAGCCAAAAGCAGAGCCTCGCAGGGACAGTCGGGGAGGGAGAGGAGAGCTAACCTCCGAGTGAGGAGCTCTGGAAGCCCAGTGAGCAAGGAACGCCCCAAGGAGGGAAGGAGCAAGCACAGCCAGCAGCACCGCTGTGATCTGAGCCAGATGAGTGGGATGCGTCCTGAGCCGTTGGTGACCCTGGCAGACCCCTCGGTGGAGCTAATACTAACAGTCTGAGAGTGGGGGGACCAGAGAGTGACACGAGTAGAGACAGAGGAGGGAGACCAAAATAACGACTGTACGAAGGGAGTTTAAAAGAATCCAAGTCTTGACTCTGTAACCATATTAATGTTTTCATATTCAAAAAATAAAGTTTAATTAAATCAATAAGAGTAAAAGACTCTAAAACTAAATGTAAACAGAAGCAAATAAACCTAATTGTATTTCGAGTGAATAACATAACAACACTGTAGAAAGAATGAAACCAACAACCTCTTAAATTCAATACCTGGCCATATACCCTGAGCCTAAAAACACAAACAAAAACTACTACAAACAAACCCTGAGCTCTCTCAGCAGGTTTGCTTCCACAGTGGTATTGGGGGGGGGGGCAATTCTGGAACTACCGCCATATATTACAGAACTGAGCAAATCAGCAGATACATCGACATTATCAGAGCCAAGGTTCTCACTGGTGGAGAGGGAAATAGCAGGAAGGACAAGAAGAACCCAGTGGGGCTGGATTACAATTGGAGCATCTTTGCAAAATAATAGTTTTTTAACTAATTTCTGTCTACTAAAAGGCCTGGAAACAAGACGCCCTAATAGTAGTGAACATACCCAGAACAAAATCTTGTTTTTAAATACCCCCCCACCAAGGACCTAAGGCTACTTGAAGAAATGGCTGATTCAGGGGCAGGGACAGTATAAGCTGAGCGTGGAACATCTTTTTTTTGTGCCAGAACATAAGGACATGCTCCCCCAAAGATGAAGACACGTGAAAGGAACTGCCACTTACCAAACCTGAGACAGTATGAGTGACAGAATGGATAACAGTTCATTAAATACGAATCTCTAAGTCCACACTGATAATAAATAAACAACCAAAATGTAAATAAAAGTTTAATGGAGAGACGCCACCTAATAATAAACAATAAGGAATGATAGTGTTAGAAAAACACAACCATGCTGCCGCCACCGTAGTAATTTTGGCTCAGGCAAGAATAATCAAAGAGCAGCAAAACTAGTGGTCAAAGTTTGAAGAGGAACAGAATATGCACCGAGTTACAAAGTATCCTCCACTAATTCCTTATTCATCAGACAGGGAAATACAATTCACAGTGGAGAAACCTGACAGACATAACCTTACCCAAGTGGCCAAGGTTAATATCACCAAATATGAGATAAACTGACATGAGGTGCCTCCCTTAAGGCAATACCATGAGAATAAAGTCACTTACATATTATTCCTGCTAAAACCACACAACGGATCTAACCTAATCATGAATCTAATCATAAAGAAACGACAGATAATCCCCAAGTGGGAAGTGACCTGAACTATTCAAGAAAGTTAATGTCATAAAGACAAAGGGCAAGGAACCACTCCAGGTTCAAGGAGAACAAAGAGATACAAGTCCCTGTAACGTGGGGACTGGATCCCAGATCAGCATCAGGACCAGGATGCAGAAGAAAACTGTCATAAAAAACATTATTAAAGCAATGGTAAAAGTCTAAAGAGAGACTGTAGAGTAGATAATAGTGTATTAGACAACACTATTTACAATTTTAATAACTGTACTGTAGATACGTAACAGAACATCCTTGGTTTGAGGAAATACATACTGAAGTATGTAGGGGGAAGGAACATGGTCTCGTCCAACCCCTCTCACAGGGGCCAGAGGACAACAGAGTGTGTATGTGTGTGTGTGTGTGTGTACACACAGAAAGAAAGAAAATGATAAAATGAATGTGGCAAAACCACTAACAACTGATGAAGTTGGGGGAGGGCTAAAAGACAACACTTTCATGCAGTCTTGGGAAAAAATTATTTAAAGACATTTTAATGCAATAACATTTATCAAAGCACCCAGCACATGGCAAAGGTTTAGCAAAGGATTTTTTTCATCCTTCCTCTGGCCTCTTCTAATCCTTGCACATACTTTTTAACTAATAGAAGTCTTTGGTTGGTTGGGGTTTTTTGATTGCCAATATTTGGTTGCCATAAATTTTCATCCCAAATCCCCAATTTCCATCTTCTCTGGAAAATTTGTAACAAGAGACAACCACGTGGCCAGTGCAGAGGGGTGCCTTCCAGCTGACTTCACTGTGTGCGTCGCCAGCACAGCCCCTGAGGCACCCAAGCTGGACTCCTGGTTTGGAGCAGTGCAGACCACAAGCCACTTGAGGGTGGCCCACGGAAGGAAGCAGCAGCCAGCATAGTGCCATCACCTAATCGCAGCAAAGGGGAGTGGAAGATAAGCAAGGCCAAGGAGTCGGCCCCTCCTGTGCCCCTCTAAAAGGTCCTATTACTGTTGTCTTAGGATTCATATACCTCACCACACTCACCGATGAGAAATAGCTTTTCCAATTTCTCTAGCAGGTCAGCACATTGATTCAGCTGCTCCTGGAAACCCTGGGCCACGTAGTAATCCACGTCGCTGGCCTGCAGTAACTCTTCAAACGCCTTAATCATCGTATTCATGTGTTGACGGTAAATGACACAGATACCATGGCTGTCCTTAATCTGCTGCCGTTGAAGGGAGAGCTCCCTGGCTTGGGACTGAACTAATGAATTGTATCTGATAAAAAGAGGGAAAGAAAATGCATGGACCATTTTAGAATTGAATTTTTGTGACCTTGACAGTAATTGGAAAAATGACAGAGCACAATTTTTAAAAGCCCGCAGCTATACAAGTACATATACTTTTAGAAAAAGTGGAACTATACAAGGTCACTCCTTTGATTTCAAACAGCCAATGAATGCTGGAACAAAGATTCTTCTGCAACATTTTTAACCTTATAAAGCCCCTAATTAAAGTACAGATTGACAAAGACTCAGGCAAACAATTAGTTTCCATACACTCTTCAAAAGTACTATTCTGAATTGTAGAAACAAGCGCTCCAAGGGTCAGGGGACCCTTGGAAAAGTCTCACAAAGTACAAAAAAGAAAGTGTAAGGCAAGAAAAAAAGACAGGACTCTCTGCTTCCAACTGAAAAGTCAGGGAACAATCACGACCCTACCTAAAGTAGGTGAGGGCCTATCAGTCAGCCCCTGAGTTTGGGGTTTATATAAGTTACCTGATCCTCCCAGTCTTCCAGCAAAGGCACAAATGTCCCCTTTACAGAAGGGAAAACTTTGACTGCAAAGTTAGTTGAGTGGTGAAAATTCTGGATTTAAACACAATTCTGACTGCAAAGTTCTATCATGCGATACGACCTCCTTACCACCCTGTGCCATCTCTTCCTATGTGAGCCCACAAATAATTTGTGAGAAAATCTGTGAAATCTTAATCTGTGAGAAAAACACAGTTGAAGGGAACATGGTTTACATAAACTGTGTCCACAGCAACCTGGTTCCAGAGAATGGCTTAGCAAAGATAGTGACACTCGGTTCAACTGTGGCCCCTTTCCTGAAACAGCAGTACCTGGCTGGCAGTTTTGACACTGAGTGAGCACCTGCAGAACCAGGACACTGGTGTTAGTGGTGACAACCGGTTTAATGAGAAAGGAAGAACACGGGCAATGTGTGGGTAGGACAGGGATGGAACCCGGCAACAGCTCTGACCAGTTTTGCCAATGTTCTCAGGCAAGTCACAGCAACCTGTTTTGAGGCTGTTTCCTTATCTATAAAAACAAGCTTAAGCACATCTCTTTCTCAGGTGATTTTGAGAACTAAATTAGAAAAGCGACAAACCAGGGACCTGAAACACAACAGCCTTTCAATAATCACAAGCTTCCTTCAATCCTGCTGCTTAGGAAATCCTGAAAAATTCACTCTGGATCCTGATAATTCCGGAAAATGTATCTGTCTCAACTTCGTGACGAATGAAGGCCGACTTTACAAATGATCCCACTTTGCTGTATCTCCTCAAGCAAAACTACATGTATCTGTACTCATAAAGCATTATCTTCGTGACCTAAGAATTCTCCTCTCTCAACACAAGCTTATTCTCAGATGACCTTAAAGGGTAAAGATATGAAAAGTACTCCTATTCCTCCCACTCTGCCTAGGACATCATTTTAGTTCCACAGCACAGCACAAGCCCATAATGGAGTCCAGGAGTAACACTGCAGGTCAGCAAAAGCACTATCCCCCACCAAATAACCTATGAAGCCTCTATCCGGGGTCCTCAACCTGCCAAGATCTGCCCTGTCGACCTTAGGGGACTCCAGACTCCTAACTGACACTCCTGTGTGCGGGCACTATTCCTATTCTCTGTGGCCTCCTGTCTCACTTCCCCTAGGGCCTGGCTGCCTGAACCCACCATCCCAGAATACACTCCAGCCCCGCAAGGAGCAGCATTGCCTTTTAGCTCAAGGGCTCTCCCCTAGTGGCAGTTTATCAGGCTACTGCCGTCTTAGAGGGGGAAAGGGCAGAGGTGGCACATACCCTGAGGGTGAGAGACCTCTGAACTTATTCTGCAGGTTATGGATTTCACTGAAAAGTTCCATGTTCAAATTCTGCTCCTTCTGCAGCTCGTACTCCTGTTGTAGCAGCTGCTGTGTGAGGCTCTCCAGCATCCTGCCATCAATCATCTCGGGGGCCAGCGGATGGAGGATTTTCATGTGCTTCACGTATCGCACCTGGTGCAAACTTGAAAAGGTCATTTCTTCTTCATCAGTATTGACCGTGGGCTTGCTCGAACCATCCTGGGCCCCTTCTGTCCCACACAAAACTGTAATAATGGCCTCACTGCATTGGGAGTGCTTCTGAAGCTGAAGTATGAAATTCCGGTAGCCCTCTAGCTCAGTTTCCAAGTTGTGGATTTTCTGTTTTAAGTGTTCTGTATCATTTAAGGTATCAATGTCCTCATATTGGTCAGTCCCAACCACACTGGCTTTAATGGAAGGCTGACTCTTAGATCTCACATAAGTAGCTACCAATGTCGGGCCCAGAAAATCTTCAGGATTCTTTTTGCATGCTGGCAAGATGGCAAGGTCACTGGATGGGTAAATCTCAGAGTCTGAAAACCAAACACATTTACATCAGTATCTCCTTTGTCAAAACCCACCCCCCCCCTTTGCCTTCCTCATACCCACAGCCAAGCCAAGGCCAATGCAGCAGTCTCCCTGCCTCTAGTCTGGCCCTCTTACCCCTCAGTTGTCCTCTTCCTCATAGTGAGTGCTCTAAAAAGTAAATTTAACCATGATAAATCCCACATACACCTAAAACTCATCAAGATTCCCACTATGTACCAGAGACCTTCCATGATCTAGTTCTCGGCAACCTTCACAGGAACATCCTGGCACCACCTATGAAGGTTTCCTACTACATTCACCACTATTCCCTGCACACACCATGCTGTTTCGTGCCTTTCACATGCTGTGCCCTCTGCCTGGATACCCTTCGACTCTATAGTCTACTCCTACCCAATGAACTTCAATACTCAGACCTAATTTTCCTTCCTCTGCAACCACTACCCCCCAAAACTGTGCAAAAGTCACTCTCCTCTGTGCTTCCATAGCGCCTCGTGTACATTACTCAAGACAAATATACCACGTGCTGGGTGCTAACGTAGGAATTCCCACTGGTTTATTTATTTACATAGCAATTAGATACTTGGATTCTTTTCTCCCTCATCTGACTGCAAGTTCTTTCACAGAAAGAAGATGGCCTTTCATCTTCACATTCTCTGTGCTTGGTACAGCACCTAACCCAGACCAGAAGTCAGTGGCAGTCCGAGAAATACTAAGGTATTCAGTGAAGCAAAATTAAAAGAGAAGTAATTCTAAATGTTCATAGCCGAGAATCTTCCAATTGCCGTGTCTACTGGTTTCCAGGGGATGCCATGACGCCCCCATGGGTGAGCTGTTTCATTGACGGGAAACTCCACCAGGTGGTATTTCCTTACAACTAGCTAAATCCTGAGAGATGCAGCCAAACTTGTCTGAGAGGTGGAGTGGTGCAACAGAAGAATACACAGCTTTGAAGGCTGAGTCAACTGACCCTCCATCCCAGACAACAGTTTCCCCTGCACGTACAAGGAGGCTAATGCAGTTGTAGTGAGGCTTCAAGCTTCAGGCCTGATTCCAGGGCTTCTGCTCTTAACCACTACACCACCCTGCCTGCCATGCAGGGACAGCCCAGCCCACTATAAAGAATTGTATGAACATTTAAGAGGCAGCAAATGTAGGAGAAAGACCCGTCTCTGAAATACAACAGACCTGGTTTCAAGGCCTAGCTCTAACATTTACCAGCTGCATGACCACCAGTTACTTGTCCTCTATGAGCCTCAGTAGTTTATCTGTAAAATGGAAAGAATATCATTCACTGTGGAAAAGCTGTGTTTGGGTTTTGGGTTTTTTTGTTTTTTTTTTATTACACAGAACATTATCTGTAACAAAGCTAACATGATATCTGGCACATAGTAGTGAAGGAACCCCATTAACACGAAACATCCTGTAATTGTTCAGAGGTACAGGGATGCCGTCATTGGAGGTAAGACGTGAAGCCGGCCCAGGGCAATACTGCTGAAACCACTATGTGGGTTGGACCATGACCTGGGAGATCTCTCAGGAAGAACACCACACAAAATCCTTGTCAGACTGCACCTTTCAATTTCTGGTTCTGCAATCTGCTCTGTAAGACTTCAGGTACACTCTTGTCTCTCTGCTCACGATGCAAATACCATAAAACAAACCTTTTTGTTTTAAAAAGCAGCTGCCAAATGACCTAAAGGAAGCACTCCCAATACAGCGTTCTTCCTGTACACAGCCTGTTAGGATCACTAGCTGATGGGGCCTTTAGGGAGAAGATCATGTCATCCACGGCTGTTTCTCAATGTCTGGCTCAAGGCCTGGGACAGAGAATATACTCTGTAAGTACTTCTGGCAGAAAGAGATCTCAACAAGGTTTTGTTCCAGTGAAATCAACCTCTAAGACAAGGAAATAGCTTTACTGTAACACACTCATGATAATGGAATTTCGCCCATACTACAAGACAAGAAGCGATGATCACTTATGCAAATAAACACTGGTTCTGATGACCTCCCTTAAGTAATCAAAGAGGCATTACTAGTATTCCCACTGTACAGGAAGAGAAAGCTGAGGATCTGGAGGCTTAAGAACCTGCCCGAGATCCAGGGTGAGTGAGCAGCAGAGTGCTGCCTGGAGCCTGGCAGCTCCTCTCACCATAACCCCCTACAGTCAAGATCTCCTATCCAGGGTACATGAGCAAAGACAGCTCTTCGCCCTCAACATGAAGGCCTGTGAAATCCTCCCTTCACTCACATCCCATGCACTGATCAAGGCCTCCTAAAGAAGCAGCAGCAGTGACGGTGTCGCCCACAGCACTCCGCCTCAGCCGAGCAGCAGTTACAGGGGGAAGCTGGAGCACAGCAGCAGGTGGAAAGCTCTGGAGTGCGCTGGGGAGAATAAAGGATGCCCAGCAGTGACGGGGAGTACTGAGAGGGGAGGGCAGCTGTCAATCAGCCTAGAGTCTGTACTGATCACTGTGAGCAAAAAAATCAAAAGTCGTCCCCATGACCATTCAGTTACATAAGAAATACTGTAATTCTAGAACTTTCCATAATTCAGCTAAGGGTACTTTACTACCTGGTAAGGTAGCTTTCTCCTCAAGGCCCAGAATACTCAGAAGCATGTGACCATATCCTCCTTCACTGCGGTGACCTCTGGCCTTGGGGAAGTACACACCATTAGGAGGGAGCCTACACTCAGCAATTCCCAGAGACTGCTGTTCTCATGGCCATTCCATGGGAAAAACAGAATTCCTGAGGATAATAATTATTTCTCACAGAGTGAACCAGATCTAGATTAACAGCAGTATTTTTTAGTGAAGGGGGGAAAAAGAGCTAAGGTAAAATGAAGATATGTAAACATTTGCTCACTCTGGTTAAATAAGGACGTGCGTATTTGTTATGGTATCCTTTGTGCTCATCCGTATGCTCACGAAGCTTCATAATTTTAAAAAGGCAGGAATACAGCTCACCTGTGGCCTCCCTTCCATCTCTGCACCGTTCCACTGACGCACCTGGCAAACCCCACAAACCCAGTCGCAGGGGCAGGCTCCCCTCCCACCCACTCCTCCCCGGCCAGCCCTGCACACACCTCCACTAGTGCTGGCACCACAGTGAGGACAGCAGACTGCTGGGATGGCTGTCTCTCCACACTGCGGGGTCCCGAGAGCTGGCACTATGTCTTTTGATGCTGAACTGCCAGACCCAGCCACTGCCTGGAAGGAAGCGTCTTAGCACTCGGACTGGAAAGCTCTAGCAGACCTCCCACCGCACCCTTGACTCTGCTACCTACTTAGCAGCAGGGTGACCCTGGATCAATTATTTGTAAAAACACCAGCCTCCCCACGTGTTAGATAGGAATGCTAATAACATCCTCAGAGGGCTATTACAGGCTTGGTAATAGTTTTTACATAAAATACCCCAAATGGTGCCTGGCACCTAGTAGCTGTTCAATACTCAGAGGGGTTGAATTCTGACCCATCTGGTAGCTTGTCTGCTGATCATTGTCCAGGTCCTTGCCTCTCCCTACAGAGGGTGTGGTTTTAACTCCTTTATGCTCTTCTGCGCTGCCCCGGGAGGCTTCTCCACAAGAGGCCGAGGTACAGGCAATTGCAAAGAAAAAGAAAAAGAAATAAAACCATAGACTTGAAACTTAGCCAAGCAAGTAAGAACACAAAGATACAACAGGGAAAATAAAAACACTGGGGAGGTAAAATGCAATTTATAAGATAAAATTAATCTATCGAGCTGCCATAACAGGACATAAAAAGCATAAATACACTGCAGCTTGTCTGAAATGGTTTAAGTCCAGACTCTCAAAAAGCTGTGTGGGAAAATGAATTCTATCAGCTTGTGCCCACTTTCCCAAGAAGAAAGAGGCCCCAGGGTCTTCTAGGCAACTGTGGAAGAAGCACCTGGCTGAGTCACCCTAGTGTCTCAGCAAAAAAATAAAAACAATGTTAGTGCCAATGGCAAGGCCTAGGCAAAGTGCCAGAGCCTCTGTTGGGCTGGGTCAGTTCTGCCATAAAATCTTTCCTCTCTGAAGCCCCCAGAATCATGCACTGATTTAATCATCTGCCACCTCCCCAAACCTCTACTGGACAGGGAGCTCTCAGAAGGCAGAGACTACCTTCCATTTATCTCCTTGCACCCTACCTGGTGCGTGATGCTGGGGACACAGCAGATGCTCAGGGAAGGGTCATGAGACCATCAGTAGATGCCCGGAAGGATGGCGGAATGGACTAACAGGAGGCAGGAAAAGAGGGAGGGAGGGAAGGCAAAAATACTACCAAAGACCAATTCATCCTGAAGCCTCAATTATGTTAAATGCAGAGGGAACCTAGAAATAAATGGAAGACAGGTCTGGCTATAGATCATCATAAAATCCATCTGAGAAGGTACCATACACTAAGCTATCTGCAATAGCAAAGAACGCAAGCTTTGGAATCAGGCGGGCTGGTTCACATCTAGCTCGGAAAGTTGGTAACAGTGTGACTATAGCCAAGTCACTTTATCTCTGAAACTGCTGCCTCAACTGTGAGACAGGGGAAATTATTAGACCTGCCTCAAAGGCCTATTGAGAGGATTCAATTAGGTCATATGTTCAAAGTGTATTAAAGTGAATAGTGGGACCCAATAAATAATAGGTGGTCATTTTATTTATACCACAGGAAGTGCTCAAAATTTACCACAAAGCTATGGTAACCAGAACAGCACGGTACTGGCATAAAAACAGACACACAGGGTGGCACCTGTGGCTCAGAGGGGTAGGGCGCCAACCTCATATACCAGAGGTGGTAGGTTCAAACCCAGCCCCTGGCCAAAAAAAAATTCACACACAAAAACAGACACACAGACCAATGGCAAAGAAGAGAGAACCCAGGAATAAATCCATACATTTACAATCCATTCATCTTCCACACAGGTGATAAGAACATAGAATGGGGAAAGGACAGTCTTCCCAGTAAATCGTGTGGAGAATGGTGGATACCTACAAGCAGAAGAAGGAATCTAGGCCCCTACCTCTCACCATAGACAAAAATCGAATCAAAATGGATTCAAGACTTAAATCTACGTCCTGATACTATGAAACTACTAGAAAAGAAAACTGGGGAAATGCTCTAGGAAATTGGTCTTGGCAATGATTCTTTTGTGTAAGCCCAGACAACCAGAGCAAAAATAGACAACTGGAATTACATCAAGCTACAAAGCTTTTACACAGCAAAGGAAACAATCAACCAAGTGAAGAGACAACCCACGGTGTGGGAGAAAATATTTACAATCCATCTGACAAGGGATTAAGAACCAGAACATACAAGGAGTTCAAACAACTCAATAACCACCCCCACAAATGGGCAAAAGATCTGAACCAACATTTCTCAAAAGAAGACATATAGGGCGGCGCCTGTGGCTCAAGGAGTAGGGCGCCGGCCCCATATACCGAGGGGGGCGGGTTTAAGCCTGGCCCTGGCCAAACAACGCAAAAAAAAAAAAAAAAAAAAAAGAAGACATATATACCTGAGAAACAAGAAGAACAGAAAAATAAAAGACATACAAATGGCCAACAGGTAGATGAAAAAGTTCTCCACATCACTAAACATCAGAGAAACACAAATCAAAACCACGTGAGAAACCGCGTCACCCCAGTGAAATGGCTTATATCAAAAGGAGAGGCAATACCTGGTGTTTGTGCAAAAAGGGGACCACTCACACATTGTTGGTGGGAATGTAAATTAGTGCAGACACGATGGAAAACAGTATGGAGAGTCCTTAAAAAACTAAAAACACAAATACCAGCCACTATACTACTAGGTATATATCCAAAAGAAAGGAATCAATACATCCAAGAAGTTATCTGCACCCCCAGGCTTACAGCAGCACTGTCCACAACAGTCGAAATACAGAATCAACTTACCTGTCCATCAGCAGATAACTGGATAAAGAAAATGTGGCGTATATACATAGTGGAATATTATTCAGCCATAAAAAAGAACGAAATCCTGTCATTTACAGCACAATGGATGAAACTGGAAGCCATTATGTTAAGTGCGATAAGCCAGACACAGAAAGGCAAATACTACATGATCTCCCTGACAGGGGAGCCAGAGAAGCGGGTCTCACAAAGACAGGCTCTACACGGGAGGGTACCAGAGACCAGGGAGGGGGGGTGGGGGGACTAAAAGAACATAAATGTGTGTATTATATCACTTAACTGTACACTCAAAATTGTAAAGATGGAAAATGCTATATTTATATTTATTTCATTTAAAAAATCCCACAGGAAATCTATGCCAGAGTCATCTCAGCCCCCTGACCCACCCTGGAGATCTCTCCTCTGACGTACTCTGCCCCGTACTCTACCCTTCATTGGCAAATCCCAGAGAACGTCAATCTCCTCTCTGAACATTCTTCTCGCTCCTCACTGTGAGTGAACTTGGGCTGTCACCTGAAGACACTGCTTCTCTGGCAGCCTTCCTGGTCATGATGACTTCTTTCCCATGTTTCTTGTATCACGGGCTGGAAATGTGTAAGTGCCTTGGCTCCTCACTGCCACATCCAGATCATTCTCTCTCTTCCATGAGCTCCCACTCTGCAGCGCCTGCCGCCAGACTATCCCACTGACTGCCCCACCTGTCTGCAGGGTCCACGCCCCCGATTCAATGAATCCCTTGAGATCTGTCGACACTTCGGCTTTTAGCTGCCCTCAGAGCACAATCCCCTCAGAGATTCTATTCTAGCTGTCAACAGGCTCCTCCATCCTCACTCTGGAACGCATGCCAACCAGGCCCTGCCCACTACATGGACATGGCTCCCTTCAAAGCCACCAATGACTTCACTTTGCTAAATCTCAAGCCCAATGCTCAGTCCTTGTCTTCCCCGTCACACTAGCAATGACTGACACAGCTAGCCCGCTCCTCACTCGGCTCTGGAATGTCATCCTCTCTTGGCTCCCTCCCATTTCACAGGCTGCTCTTCCCGTCCATCTTGCCAATTTTAATTCTTGGACCTACACCCTATGGCTCCAAGTCCCGTGGCTTCAAATATTAGCAATATGCTGCTGTTTAAGTTTGTATCTCTAGCTCAGACTTCTCCCCTTGACTCCAAACTAATCTATCGCCTTCATGTTCTCCACAAGGATGGCCAATAGGCATCTCAAGTCCAAAACCAGACACCTAACATCCCCCCAAATCTTGCCTCTCCTGAAGTCTTTCCTAGCTCAAGGGATGACAACTCCACTGTCCCAACAGTTCACATCTAAAGTGATCCTTTAAAACAGAGGTCAGACTACCTTTCTTAAAGAGCTGAATAATAAATATTTCAGGCTCTGCAGGTCATGGGTGTCTCTGTCGCAGCTTCTCAACTCTGCCTTCATGGTCACAGCAGAGACATTGTGCAAGTGAGCAGGTGTGGCTGTTTCCCCAGAACTTTGTGTAGAGCTGGATTTGGCCCCCAGGCTGCAGTTTGTCAACCCTGGCTTTGAGGATTAAGTCAGTTCTTGTCTTTGTGCTGCCTGAAACTCTCCAACAGTTCTACTCCTACCGAGAGTAGAAAAAGTCCCAAGGGACCAGGCATGGGTGGCATGTAAACTTAGCACTCTGGGAGGGCCAAGGCAAGTGGATCACTTGAGCTCAGGCATTCCAAACCAGTCTGAGAAAAAGTGAGACCCTGTCTCTAAAAATAGCCAGGCGTTATGGCAGCTACCTGTAGGCCCAGCTACTTGGGAGGCTGAGACAAGAGGATGGCTCGAACACAAGAGTTTGAGGTTGCTGTGAGCTATGATGCCAGGACACTCAAGCCAGGGCAGAGAGTGAGACCCTGTCTCGAAAAAAAAAAAAAAAGACAAAAGTGTTGGAGCGGCCTATGAGAGCATGGCTGATCTGCTACCTCTGTGATCTCATCTTTTCAACTCGCCTGCTTTCCCACCCCACTCCAGCCACATAACTGGCCTCCTTACTATTCATCCAACTGCCAAAGTTCACAGCAACACCAAGGCCTCTGCCTTGTTCCTTCTTCCCAAGATGACTTCCCAGTCATTTCACTCAACACCCAGTTCTGCTCAGACGCCACTACAGAGGCTCCCTCTACCTCCCTCCCTCATGAACGTCAGCAAACCCCACCCCTCCACAGCCCCGGCTGCCTTCTCCTCCAGGCACTTACTTTCCCAAATATTTCATATCTAAGCCCATCAGCTCATTCCCACCACCACCACCCCCTGCCGCTGACGAGAATATAAGCTAGACACAGACTTCGTCTGTCTTGTCCACTATTTCCCCTCCGTGCCTAGAGTGGTACTCAGCTTAAAGGAGAAGTTAATAAATGCAGTATTTTTTAATAAATAAGCAAAAGATTACCATCATCCTTGTTATTGTGTGGCTGCCATCTGCATATAACAGAAGTTCAAAATTGGGGTCAACACGTGTACTTTTGTGGATTCATGAACACTGAGAAAATGTAAAATGCTACATATGTGCTCACCAGCATGACTCTGGAAGAGGGCCCTGAGCTTTCTGCAGAGTCTCAAAGGGTTAGTGGTCCAAAATCTACAGCACCACTGTCCTAGAGTAAAGGACTCCCCAGATGGGGTGTCTGGATCCTAACTCCTGAGATATATTTTAACCCACGGACTCCCACTGTCCGGCCCTCAGGAGAGCAGAGGCAGCAGATTCACTTCTAGAGGAAAATAGAGTCAGTGTGGAACCGAGAACCTGCAAAGAGGACTCTCACTTGCACACCTCTGACGCTACGGGCCTGGAGCTTCCACAGAGGAAGGCAGGCAAACATTCCCAGATTCAAGCCATCCCACAACCGGGGCTCCTGCAGGCAATCCCCAGGTGGAAGCAGCAGTGACCCCACAAAACCTGTGAGCATTCCAAGCCCCTCGAGCCGGACTCCAGAATAAAATGAAAGCAACAGATTCATTTTCCTTATTGTGTTCCCTCAGTTGTGCATTTGTCGCGAGTTGAGATTAATCACTGCAATTCATGAAATTTATACTCAAACTTATTGCAATTCTAAACAACAAGGCTGACATTTCTAGCAGTTCTATCAGGTCATTTGTCTAGCTCGAGGAGAAAACATTTTTCTTGGTGCTTACCGTTCAGTACCGTTGTGTCGGGTACTGGCCTCCCCTCCATCAGTGCTTCTGCCAGATTTAACTTTTGGTGAAGTTGCTTATTATGACTTTTAAACTCCTTCAGCTCCCCCTGTAGCTTCAAGATCTGGCGCTGCAGCTGGGCCACCACGTCCTGGGTAGCAGGGAGGTGATATACATTCCCTAATGACCGGGATGGTTTTATAAGGACTGGCAGGCGGGACTTCTTAGTATCCTGAAAATACATGCAGACAACAATGAATACAGGCTGACACGCTGCACTGGCAGCACAGGCAACATTCTCAGGCCAGCCTCATAAAAGGGGATTCAAACTGGCCATCCAGACTTCTGGTTCCTGTAACGGCATCCATGTTTATCCCCCAGCCAGAGTCTACATCCCGGCAGGTCCCACCTCTGGTCGTCCAGGGCCCCATTTCTCCTCCCGGACACCCTCTGGCTTTGGCAATCCAGATGTTCCACATATGGCAGTTCCTTCTCCAACACAATCTCCTGGGAAACACGTTTATGTCCTCATTTCCCAGCCATTCTTCAGTCTACGCCAATCCTCCCCTGCCCTGCTAGTCTACCAGACCCACCCCTTCCTTCAGCGGCTAGTGGGTCACTAACCTGGCAGGCATCTTCAGGCTCAGAGCCCCCCTCCTATCTGTCACCCAGAGACCTTCATCTGTGGTGGCTCACACAGACTCTGAAGTCCTGAAAAGACCTCAGTTCTCTCTCCACCTGAGGATCCATGCCACTTCAATCATCTCTGCCTTGGTGAATCACACAACCACCCACTTACTACACAATGCAGAGCGCTGGGATCATTTTTAACCTTCCCTTTGTTCTCCTCACTCACTCTGCTCACTTACCAGGTCCCATTAATTCCAACTCCCCTGTTGTCCCTCAATTCTTCTGGGTCTTCTCGTCTTCCACTGCCCCTACCACACAGCCAGACGCGGCTAGTCCCCACCTAGCCCCTGCAGGCTCCTGGGAGGTCTCCACACGCTCACTGTCGCCCTCTCTCGCCCACCCTCCACACTGCAGCAGAAAGGCAAACTACCTACTATTCCTCTTTTCACCTACAACTATTTTAACTGCTTCTCAGTTCCCTTATGCAAAAATCCAAGTCCATAGCACAGCTTACAAAGTCCTGTGTGACCAGCAGCCTGAGGTCCCACTTCAGCCTACTCTCCAGCCACACTGACCTCCTTTTAGTTCTTCAAATGCCACATTCCTTCTACCTCAGGACCTTGGCATATGCTGACTCTTCTGCCTAGAACGCTCATTCTCCTCCTGCCCCCCATTTCCCATGCTAACTCCAAGTCATTTATTAGAACTTAGCTCAACTGTGGATCTCCAGGAGCAAGGGCCTTGATATCCAAGACCAAGTCAGGGCTCTCTGCCGTACACCACCGTCCCCTATAATTCTCCTTAGAGAACACTAGTATCATTATAATTAAATGCCCATGCAAATATTTGTTCACCACCTATCTTCCTTCAGCACCAGCCTGTAAGCTCCAGGGTTCAGATCTGTGTAGCTTGGTCAGATTCTCTCCACAGCTCTCTGCATAAGACCCTGTCCACAGCAAGCACTTGACAACTATTTGCAGAATAAACATGCAAACAACAACTTAAGAGGCCAATGGGGCTATCTCTCAAGCAGGGAATTTTAAACATATCCAAAAGCTGAGGAGAAAACCTGAATCTAGAATAAAGAATTATTATACTCAATAATAAAAACACAAATAATTCAATTAAAAAATGATCAAAAGATCCAATAGACATTTCTTCAAAGGAGGTAGACATACTGTCAACAAGCACATGAAAAGATGTTTAGGGCTCGGCGCCTATAGCTCAACCGGCTAAGGTGCCAGCCACGTACACCTAAGGTGGCGGGTTCAAATCCCCAGCCCGGACCCGCCAAACAACAATGACGGCTGCA